ACGGACCAGCTTTTCCTCTTTAAAATGCAATCCTGACGGATCAGCTTTCCCTCATGAAGTGGTGGTAATAACGAAGAAAAGAGCACCAGTTTCTGTTGGGCTGGGGTCGTGATATTAGAAATCGAAGTAGCAGAGGAAGCAAAGAAGGGTCTCCCGTTGTAGAAATGTAAGGTAACTTCTGATTTTTCTGTGGTTACCATGTAAAATTATCTGTAATTGGGTTCATACTGTTTAGAGATAGCAAAGTAGAATGGCTTTTCCTCCGTGGAACAAAGCTAAATCAGCTACGATTAATGAATACGAAGATTCTTATATAAATATATTTAGTCAACTTCGAAGTTAGAAGAGTCCACTGACTGCATCTTGATGATGTGTTCGAGAGATCTTTGGATGATTCTATGCAAGATCTAATCCTGAACTTGTTATCCATCCCGCGCTTGATATTTCGGGCTGTCGAGCTAGGCATGCTAACGGCTTCAATCCTTGTTTGCAGGCGGTTTGTGCCCTTCTTCTAGTGTTTTTTGGGTCACTGCCTGCTTCCTTGTGTACTCTCCTTTTTCTCTGTAAGCCTTCAACACCCTTACACCCCATCTCTATCTCCCTCTCTCAATTTGTGTGCTTCTTTATTATGGTTTGACCAATTTCATTTTGGTATTTCTTGAGTCCAGTTGATCTAATACAAGCAAGCAACAAGGGCTATCTTAAAAGTAGGAAAAAAGAAAACATATGTTCTTATAAATACCAGTTTGTTCTGAACACCAAGATTCTAATTAATTCACCAAGATTCTAATTAATTCCAGTAAAAACAAGATATCACAAGTAAATTACACCCTTTTCTTGCTGCAAATATTAAGAATATATTATAAGTAATTTAATTTAATTACAATGTGGGTTGTATTTGAAATTGAAAATTGAATTTTATTCCCATTCAAGCGATCAACCAACCATGACTCTCAAGAAATCTCTCATATCACTCATGTGACTTGTGTCGATAGGGATATCTCAATGAGTTGATAGAAAAACAGGAGGAATGTTAGGAAAAAAAAAAGGATTTATTATCTAGTTTTAGAAACTAGAAAACTCTAATTCATTTTTAGAGGTTTTAGGTAAGTGATTGATTAAATAATAATAAAAAATATCGATCATATCTTATACATTTTATCTAAAATAAATCCTTACATTTGAAACTATAGCTTAACAATAGAACCTAATCCTTACATTTGAAACATGAACGTTGGACCTAAAAAATAATAATGATTAATGAGGCTATGGTCTTTTTTATTTGATCATTTATGAAATGAGCCCAGATGCCTTTACTTACTTTATAGACTTTTATGAGATTATGTTAATCTAATTTATGTTTACTTATTGTGATAGGGAAAAATATACCCCAAGACTAAAAAATTCTTGAACAAACATTTCAAACAACAATAATTATAAACAAAGATTAAAAGAATATTTACGTGATTTTTTTTGGTATAAAATCAAATGTCATCATCTAGAAGATGACTTCGAGCAGGATAATAATTTATTGGCAAGCTGAAGAAGTGGGTCAAAAATATATTGTCAGGGCACCTTTAGGTATAGATTAAAAAAAGAAATATATTTTAAAAATAAAATCTGTCTTCAATATTTTTCAAAGGGATAAAGACTTTTTAAAGATATAATGATTCTGGAGTTTATTTTTAGATGAAAACAATTAATACTTAATATTAAATCTCGTCCTAGAAAATTGTGGTCTTAAAAATTGGTTGCTATAATATATATTTTTTTTAAAAAAAAGGGTTCGGAAACAACACGCATCCTTGTTGGCCGCCGCCACCTCGAAGATTCACACGAGATTATTGTATAAAAATTACTTTTTATATGAAAATAATTCTAATATTTATTTAATAAAATAAAAGGGAAATAATTGAGAATCTTTATCTAGCACAAAATTTCACAACGAACAAACATACACTTCCACTCATAAAATCCCAATAATGGGCCAAACAATTACACATTGCATAATCTTGATGTCACCTGTTCTCCCAACCTCATTATGAGATGTTGATCCTAACGTTATAAAATCTAAAAATCAAATCTTCAGCGGTTTCGTATCCTTAAGAGTTGTTAAGCAATGGGTTGGATCCCAATATTTCAAATATCCATGTAAAAGATAAAGGGGTAATAACTATTTTACCCTTACTGGTCGTTGGAAGATGATGAGATTGTGTCGGCATGTGCGTCTCAAGCGCTGGCATGTCTCATGCGCCGACGCTGAACCTGCAAAAAAAAAAAAAAAAACAGAGAGAGAGAGGCTGAAAACGATTTGATTTTTGGGTGGAAAAGGCTGTAATTTTTTAAGGTTTATTTTGAGGGCTACTGGTTTAGTTGTTTGTGCTAGTGTGGCTGTTGGTTTTGTATCGGGTTAACTGGTTTAGTGGCGTGGTTGACTTGATATCAACTTAGCGGTTGTGAGTGGCTCGAGCCAGTTGTCGTTTCCTACTGTTGCTGGTTGGTGTGGTGTTTGATTCAGGCCATGGTGGCGGCTGCTATCTTGGTGGTTTAATGGCTGTTTCTGATGAGTTGGAGGGTTAGGTTGACGCCTATTTTAGCTGGTTTAGGTGCCAGTGTGTTGGCTTTTGATTCAGGTTGGCGGTGCAAAAACTGTTAGTGATTTTTTTTTTTTTTGCACTGGTTTGATGTTGGAAAATGAGAATAAAAACGGGTTATTTCAGCTTGCTCAGACGCATCCAGTAGCTGATGGTCCTTGTACGTGAATTTCGGCTCTTCATAATCCATGAAAACGGTGAACCAAGTGACTCATTGGCCAATTTGCAGGCTATAAATGTTAATATTAGTTTGAACAAGTGAGGAGCAGTTTGGAATAAACAGGGGAACCCGCACAGCAAACAAACTAGATCATTGCCTTTATGTAAAAAAATTATGTTGATGATTTTTTTTTTTTAAGGAAAGGAAAAAAATTAAAATTATACAAGAATTGATTGACTTGTGAGATTTAAAAATAATTTAAATAATCAATAAAAATATAAAAATATAGTTTGGCTAAAAAATTAATATAATAATTTTTTTTAAAAATATATTGAAAATATAATATGTTAGATTGTTTTGGATTAATTTGTATTAACTTGTTAAATCTATTATCTAAATTAAGAGACCTATATAATTATATAAAAAGCAAAAATTAAAATTAAAAATAATTTTTATTCAATCAAATATTAAAAATAAAATTTAAATAAAAAAGTTATGTTAACCTGAATTAATCTACTAAAATTAAGATAAACATATAAAAAATAAATCAAAATAAATTATAAAATTTAATTTTTACTACTTGCTATAGTATTTGAATTTCAATTAATTTTAAAAATAATTACAATAATATTAACAACTCTTTATTTTAGAAAGAATTGATGTAATAATATTTTTTAGTTAGCTAACTAAAATGATTTTTTTCACTATTTTAACTAAAATTTAATTATTAAGCTTTATCCAAATGGGTTGATATTCCATCTTCTCACTCATCACCAAATGTCATCATAAACTTACTTGTACTATCTTTTCTTTTTCTTTCACGTCACTTCTTGGCTTGCATATTAAACCTTGCTTCTACAATGAGAATGTTCTCGTGAGCTTATTCAGTTTTGATTTTTAAAAATATTTTTGAAAAAAATTAAATTACATATTTTTTATTTTAAATTAATTTTTTGATATTTAAAAAAAAAAAGAAAATGCACTCCAAGGACATTCAAAAGACAAGTTCACCATTTACATTATTCAAACCTCTATTTTTTTTCCTCTCATTTTTATATGCCCGTACATTACTCTACTATTAAAAGGCATCCTTTTCTACGGATTCTAGGCACACCATGTGCATTTCAAGTGCCTATCACATTAACAGATCCTCCCACTGTATCCTGCGCACAGTAGTTGTAAAGTCAAAAGACTAGAAAAAAAAAGAAGAAAATTCGAGTCCTAGCCACCAGATTGATTTTTAACCAAAACCTTGACAGTTTGCTTGCTTTACGTGGCATATACACGAAATCATTTCACGGGCTATTTGTTTTATCTTAGAATACAATTAATTCGGAGGGGGTGTTCTTTCGGACGATGATTTATGGGGGCCTTAGATCATCCCACGCGTGCAAGGCACATCTTACAACCACTCTGTCACGTGTCTGTGCAAGGAGCTGCGTGCTTCGAATTAGCTTAATTGCCTTGTCTTCTTCTCCCTTTGAATCCAGGGATGCTTTAACCGTTGTCATTTCCCAGAGCTTACGTGGCTGTACATGATCCCAGAAAGAGGGGCCGAATTCCAAAATAATACTTAATTGCTAAAAGAGGGTGGAAACGACAGCGTCCTCCTGTAAATTAAAAGGGAAGAATAGATTAGGTAGAACTAGCTATGCCGTTACATGACAAGTAGTTCATGATTAGGGGCACAGTTGCTTCTGCTTTGCACTCAGATTCAAATTAAAACAAATCAAACAGTAATTCTCACCGACACCCAAACCCCATGGGCATGTACGTAAATTTAAATCCATGAGATTTTAGTGTAGGAACGTCGTTTGCATACATTCATTGCTGACACTGACATTTTGATATTTAATTATTTATTGATCATGGATAAATTAAAAGGGTTAATTAGAACTTAGTTTCTGTATTTTCATTAAAATTAATCAATTAATTAATTAACCCCTTTAATATTATAATTTGATAGCCCTACGCTTCGCCCATCATTAACAATCTCAACCTAGTTTCATTTTTAAATGATGCCCTGTTATCAAGTCAGTTTTTTCCATTTTTACCAACACAATTCTTCTTCTTTTTTTAATTAAAAATAAATTAAAAAATAACATTAAATTCACGGAGTAGAAAAAAATGTAAAGATTAAATATAAGGCTTCCGGGAGAGAACATGAGGAGTAATTAATTAAATTTGTTAAATAAATGATTAAATTATAATTAACTCATAAATCAAAGAGTGTCGTAATTTTATTGCATGCAAAAAAAGAGAGAGTTGAGGTGTCACGAAGGTCTCGTGGCATGGTGCGTCAATGCAGGCACTCGATATTCGCGGGTCTACGATAATAAACAATAAACGTGGCAAACTAAAATGGCTTGAATTGAATTCAGAGTCAGAGTGATGTGCGGTGTTGAGAGCTCGTTTGCAGGAGCAAATACAATAAAAAATGCTACTCTCGAAGCATGGGAGGATGAGTTTTTAAGCTAAGCTAGCAACTGATCCAGTACAGAAGCCATGGACTCTCGAAGTTAAGGTTTCGGATTTCCACTTCAAATTTCCAAGAAACGGAGAAAATGCGGATCTCCAGTTTCTCTTGCTCCCACACAGCTCTATTCACTCTGATTGTCATGCAGGTCTCGATTTCAAGAGGGCAATTAGCTCCAAATGAAACAAGAATTCTTTTCCAGGTTCAGCAACTCCTTGAATATCCTCAGGTTCTTCAAGGATGGACTAACTGGACCAACTTTTGCTATCTCCCCCCCTCACCTTCTCTAAAAGTTGTTTGCTCAGATAGTCATGTAACTGAATTAACTGTCGTTGGAAACAAAAGCAGCTCCTCTGCATCTCCCAACAGCCCAAAACAAAATACCTTGTCTGACAACTTCTCTATAGATGCTTTCTTCACCACCCTAACAGAGCTTTCAAATTTGAAGGTGTTGTCACTGGTGTCCTTGGGATTGTGGGGTCCCTTGCCTACCAAGATCAACAGGTTTTGGTCTCTTCAAGCACTTAATGTCAGCTATAATTTCATTTATGGCCAGATTCCTCAAGATATCCTGTCGTTAAAGAATCTCACTAGTCTTGTTTTGGCTCATAATTTGCTGAACGGAACAGTCCCAGATCTCAGAAGCTTAGTTCTACTTCAAGAGCTAAATTTGGGTGGCAATCATCTTGGTCCAACCTTTCCTTCGCTTGGTAACAATCTTGTTACCATCATCCTGAAGAACAACTCCTTGAAATCTGTTATTCCTTCAGAAATCAAGAAATTCAATCAGCTTCAGCAGCTGGACATCTCTTCCAACAAACTCATCGGACCAATCCCATCTGCTTTGTTCTCCCTTCCTTCTCTTCAGTATCTTGATTTAGCCCAGAATCAATTAAGCGGGGCTCTTCCAACAAATATATCTTGCAGTGTTAAGCTTCAATTTGTGGACATCTCTCACAACATTTTGATTGGAAAATTACCTTCCTGCATTGCAACCAATACTTCAACTCGGACAGTCATCAGCTCATGGAATTGCTTGTCTGGCGGTAAAAATGCAAGTTACCAGCACCCTTACTTGTTCTGCAATAAAGAAGCATTGGCTGTGAAGCCCCCATCTAGAAGTAAGGAGCACAAGTCTTCCACTATCAAACTTGGAATAGTACTTGGTATTGTTGGAGGTGTTCTTGGGATCGCAGGTGTTCTTGGATTATTGATTTTTGTGATCATTAGAAGATCAAAAACAACAACAGCTGATGATCATGTACATAGCATATTTGATGGATCTGTTACCAGTAAAAGGTCTGTTGCCAGTAAAATGTCTGTTCGCAGAGCCGTTGATTCAAGTAAGTCCGCCTAGCTACCATTTGATTTTCTCTCCTCTTTGCGTTTTCATGTGAAGTTAGTTTGTTGGATTTTCAAAATTACGCATGATATGAATTTCCACAGGGCGTGTGCCTCAGACGATGAGGTCGGCAGCTATAGGGCTTCCGCCTTATCGTGTCTTCACATTGGAGGAAATGGAAGATGCTACAAACAACTTTGATCCATTGAATTTTATAGGAGAAGGATCCCAGGGACAAGTAAGTCTCAGAACTTTTCAATGGGCTCACATCATGTCATGGCTACTAGAACTCATCATTAACAAAGCCCTTTGAACTAAATGCTATTCTGTACTGTAATCTACAGCTCTATAAAGGTTGGCTCATGGATGGTTCAGTAGTCCTGGTGAAATGTGTGAAACTAAAGCAGAAGAATTTGCCTCAAAGCATGATTCAGCAGATTGAGGTACTATCAAAGCTGAGGCATCTGCATTTGGTCAGCATTCTCGGACACACCATCGTCACATATCAGGATCATTCGAGCACAGCTGGCACAGTATTTGTTGTCCTTGAACACGTCTCCAATGGATCTCTAAGAGATTACCTAGCCGGTAAAATACCAAAATCACTTATCATTTTTTTGAATCATTGCTGTCTTGCTGAAGCCTAAAGTAAGTAAGATTGTTGATATGACAGATGAGAGAAAAAGGGAGATGCTGAGATGGCCAAAAAGAATGGCGATTATCATTGGCGTTGCGAGGGGAATCCAGTTCTTGCACACTGGAGTTGCTCCTGGCATTTTTGGGAATAACGTAAAGATCGAGAATGTTTTGTTGGACGATACTCTTACAGCGAAACTCAGTGACTACAAGATTCCCCTGCCATCAAAGGTGAGGGCAGAAGGCTTGAGATTTGAGATTCTTCATATTTGAAGCACTTTGGATTCACACTTCTGAATTTCTTTTGTTTTGTTTTCTGAACTTTGCAGGTAGGCTCGGAGAGTCCTCTCAATGGACAAGATGCGTTCAATATCAACAGGCAAGTCTTCCTCCTGTTTTCATTTTTTCACACCTTCATACTACTGAATAATCAAGGTCATCTTGCCTGAGTCCTCTTCCTCCATGCAGTAGTGAAAATGCAGAAAAAGAAGATGTCTATCAACTAGGTGTCATTTTACTTCAAGTCATTACGGGTAAGCTTGTCACATCCAACCGAGCATTGGACGAGTTAAGGATACAGGTAAATACATGTGCAATATAAATCTGATAACATTATTTTGGAACTGCCTTTATACGGTGCCGATCATGGGTTATGACTGCTTAAATCTTTTTTTTTCCTTTTTTTTTTGTTGGTTCAATTTGCAGCTCGAAAAAGGCTTGGCAGAAGCGCCATCGAAGTTACAAGCCTTGGTCGATCCATGTACAAGGGGTACTTTTGCATATGAATCCCTAAAAACTGCAGCTGAAATGGCCGTTAATTGCCTAAACAAAGAATCAAGAGCTCGGCCATCAATAGAAGATGTACTTTGGAATTTGCAGTATTCCATTCAAATTCAAGAAGGATGGACTAGTACCAGTGGAAACCTTGGCGGTCCACACTCGTCTTCTTATTAAATTTCTAGACTCGTTTCTCTATAATTGACTACGTTTCTCTGTAATTGATTATCATAAGAAATCATATATGAATTTTTTCCCATCATTTGTTCTTTTTGCCCCCCCCCCCCCTTCTTTGGCAATTGTTCAACATTTTCCACCGATTAGAATCTGAAAAGAAACTGTCAAAATCAGTTCACGATACTGTAGATTTGAGAAGTAATATTTAACACATAGTTAGAAAGGTGGATCCAGAAATGGGCTGACTTGGAAAAAATTCAGTTGACTTGGAAAAAATTGGATTAAAAACACAAATTAAACTATTAATCCGATAAATCAAGGCTCGATTCTATTAAAACCCGACTTTTTTTTTTAGTTAGTTACCAGTAAATTGAAATTGGTGACTTACTCACAATCGACGAATCAACTCGCCGAGGGGTGTTGAGGAATACAACCGATGTATAGACGCATGCCAGAACATGAAATAGTAACATGCTAGAACAAAGGATGAATTCGGCTTCGTTTGGAACGAGGTAAAAACCACGTTTTCTTAAAATTATAAAAAATTTTGGGTTAAAAATTATTTTTTAAAATTATTTTGATCTTTTGATTTTAAAAAATAAAAAAAATATTATTTTAATATATCTTTAAATAAAAATATTTTAAACCATAAATACAATCCAAAACAATATCGAAGTATCAGAAATATACTGCAAAATGAACCTATCCAACCAATAAATACCAGTGAAGAAATGCATGCATATTTTATTAATAGCAAAATAAATATTCCGACACGTGAAAAGTGAGATACAGCATAGCACACAACCATTACACGGGCCATAAACAGGAGAGATAAGCCATTATATAGGTCAAGATAAAACACGAAAATTATACTTGTTGTCCGGACAAGAATTACTTCAGATACTTGTTGTCATGATAGAATAGGAAATATTAGTTTACTGGCTAGGTTGGTATTAATAAATTTTAAATTTTCTTGATTTGAATTTTTAACTAGCTAAAGTTTAAAATTAAATTATATTAGTGTTGCTTTAATATAATTAACTTTTCCAGTCCAAAAAAATTAGTTTTTTAGTAAAAAACTTTTAAGTATAAAATTAATTAAAAAAACCTCTGAAACCAACTCATCTCTAGAACCAATTCTTTACTTAACCAAAATTTAAAATTAAATCGTGTAAAAATCTCAATCTAATTGACTTGATAAGATTAAAACTAATTTAATTAATCAATAAAAAAGGTTTGAGGATGAAATTGAGGGGAAAAAATAAAATTGTTAAAATAAAAAATCTCCCGCCCTAATACCTTGTCTTATTTTGATTTAAAATTAAATTATATGAGAGTTGATAAAACATGACTAAGTTGATTTAACCTATAAATAAAACTTAAGTAATTGTTTAAAAAATATAAAAATTAAATTGAGAAAAAAAGATGAAATTAAAAAAATAAAATAAAAAATAAAAATAAAAATGGGACACCTAGTAGTTGATTGAAACTAGTGGAATCTTTGTATCACTTTTATTTTATGAAAAACATCTTTTTAAAAATTATTTTGCCAACTTTTCAATATTCATTTATTTTTAAGAAAATTGGTGAATAAAAAATGGTTCAATTGAAGAGAAATACCTAAACCTTTGTTTTAAAAGTGTTTTTATTCTCTCAATTTCATAATACTTTCTGGATTTTTATAAAAAAAGATAAAATGAAATTATTTAATTCTTTTTAAAATTAAAATTCATTAAACTGAAATCTAGAAATCTTTTTTTATATTAATTTTTTAGTAATAATAAAATTGATTAATGAATAATTTGATATTTTAATAAATATAAAATATAATTTAAAAATAAAAAGTGGCTTGTGTGTAAATTTAAAAATAAAAGGCAATTTGCCGCAACCTTGTGAAGTCGTGTTCTACTACAACCTTTCTATTCTACTGCGTTTTCTACTATTAATTAACAAAAACTAAAAAAAGGCGGTGATTTTACCCACCACCTCCCAAAACATTAACGTGCAGTCTTAAACTTAGCCCTCCCTTCTTCTTGCTGTCACGGGGAGAATACTCTGGACGGGGAAGGAAGACTTTACTCACTGATTAGTGCCGCCGCTGGACTTTTCCGTTGTGATCTTAGAAAGAAAGAAAAGCCTGACTTCCTCTCTTTCGAGAATTTAAGCCCGGTCTCTTCTTAGTTCCGGATCGACAGAGCGAAATGGGACTATCCCCAAGTCCTAGGCCAATGCTTCTATTCTGAAATGGAAGATAGATAGGAAATGGGGAAGACACTCTCCCGTCGTCTATCGACTCGGCAATTCCATGCCTTCTAATAGAAAGTCTTCTGCTTTACCGTTCCTCTACCTTCTATACATGAGCATCGCTAACTCAGCCACTTCGCTCACCCTTCATTCTTGATTCAGCCCATCGCTAAAGCTCAGCCCGGCAAATTCAATTTTTTTCCTCTTGCACTATTTGGTTACTAAGCTCATTCTATGTTTTTCTTTTTAATCTATGTTTGTTTTTATCCTTCAGATTTATTGGAGATTTATCTTTATAATTTATTTTGTATATAATTATTTCATATTTATGACCCGTATTATAATTTTAGTGAGTTAACATAATTAATTAATATTTTTTTAATTAGTATGTTTTTCTAATTTTATTTTTTAATATTATATTAATAAAAAATTATATTTCAAAGTATTTACTTGATACTATCCCTTAACTTGTAGGACTTATATAATATTAACATTGTAACTCTTTTAGAGTGGTATTTTATTGATGACCTGAACCTCTTTTAAAAAAAGTATTCTTCGCTTTCCATATAAGTTGTGCAGGAAGAGCTCAAAGTTAATCTCAAAGAATAATAAAGTTTTATATGGTTTGAGATTTATTTTGATTTATTTTTTAAAATTATTTTAATTTTATTATTTGAATTAAAAATTTTAATTTAGGTTGACTTAGATTATTTTATTATGTTTTTCTATATTGATTTTTTTTAATTTTATTTTTTAACAATGAATTGATTGAAAATTATACTTCATAATTTATTTTATATGAAATTATTTTAGTTTTATAACCTGAGTCGTGGATTTAGTAGAGTAACTCAAATTGACTCATGTCATTTTTTTATTTGTTTTCTTTGAATTTATCTCGGTTTTATCATTTGACATTGAGTTATTTAAAAATTAAACTTTATAATTTATTTTAATTTATATTTTATTGGATTATCATGATCTTATAACTCATGTTATAATTTAGAAAGTTAACTAAGGTTGACATGAGTTTTTTTTAATTTTTATTTTTTTAATTTTTTTTATTTTTTAATATTAAATTGATTGAGTATTGGATTTCATAATTTATTTTGATTAGTTTTATATATGATTATTATAATTTTGTAATTTAGATCATGAATTTAGTAAGTGAAAGTTAACTTAAATTAATTGAATATATTATTTTTTTAATATTTTATTAAATAAACATAATGTAAACGACTAATTGAATTGATTGCCCAAATTGAATTGAACCACTTGTCGACAAGGACTCTCTGCACAAGTCAGGAAAGATGTTGCCTCATGAATGATGTGTGTGAAAATGGACCTTCGAAATTGCATTCCTATTATGTAGTATATACAGATATCTTGATGACTATTTACCCGTGAAAGCAAAAGGAAGACGCGGAAAAGCTTTATAGGTCAACAAGTTGACTTGGAAAGTTAAGTTGCTGCTGCAGTCCTTTTAGCTGCTAAGGTATGGATCAGCTTAATAGCTAGGATATTCATGTTTTTGGCAATACTGACACCCAAAATCTCAGATATCATTAGCAAAAAGATTATTTCATCTCGTCAAATTAAATGGTGACGAGCAAATGGATGTCTTGTGTTATTCATAATGCAAGAACCCTAAACAACAAGTCAACAGTAGATTTTTTTGGTTACGTCAAAGCAGCAGCACTGGAATTGAAATCAAGCCAAAAAGGCTATTTTAGTATGGATCCACAGCCACTAGCTAGGTGGCTAGCCATTTTTGACCACTTACAAAAAAGCATGGACTGTAATTCCATGATTATCCATTCCACTTTATGGAAATTAAGATCCGCGCCTTATCCTGGTTCTAAAGAAATCAGACCTAAGATAGACCAGCAAGTCAACTTCGCAAGAGTTTAAATTTAGCCAATGGAGTTATAGAGCAGTGCAAAATGTAAAGTATTGACTGACTGAGATGGAAAAATCATCCTTTAAATGCTCTATGATTCAAGACCCTTTTCTCTTTGCTTAGCAGTGGAAGAAAGATAAGAATACCTTTCACTTTGGCTACATCTCTGGTTATAATTGATCTTCATGGAGGATGCTGAAGGCATTGAACTACAAATCACAGGTTAGTCAGATTATTTTTACTATATATGCGCTGCTTCTCCATACATGTACTGCTTATTCTCTTTTTTATATCGAATTTAGTTGTCGTGTCAGTGTCCAAAGCATATGATTAATCTTCCATTCATTTTCTTATGATCTTCTACTTCAATCGAAAACTTAGAATCCAGAGTATTCAGAAATTGCTTAAGTAATTAATTGGTGACCAATATGAGATAGGTAGACCAGTGGCTTGTATTATTTAATCCAGTTTTATGTCCTACATAACCCCTTACGAAATAATCCAGCACATGACATAGATGAAGCGTGGCAAGCTAGTGAAGCCTGTTCTTCTTGAATTAGAATCTGGTTAACTTTCAATATACGCAGTTAACATGCAATCATGCCATGAATACTCATAAATGGACTTAAGGCAAGAATAAGTGTGGGTGATCAAAATCCTCTGCAAGCAATAATCGTTTTGCTCTTCGCTTGTTTGTATTCAAGTGAATGGTTTTGCTATTTTCCAGCTGCAGATGATAAAGAGCCAAACTCAAGTAATGATGCCTCCTCTATTAACAACAAAATGAAGCTACCAAAACTCATTCATTACAAGTGGTGGCTCCGAGTGACCTGCTATATACTATTTCTTCTCTCGGGGCAATCTGCTGCCACTCTTTTGGGAAGATTATACTATGACAAAGGTGGGAATAGCAAGTGGATGGCAACGTTTGTTCAATCTGCTGGCTTTCCAATCCTACTTCCCCTCCTTTTCTTCTTCACTTCTTCTATCAATTCCAAAACCGCAACAAATCCCATTAGCTCTTCCTTTGCAAACAAACCAGAAGGTCCTAAACTATCCACTCTTACATTTCTATACATTGGCTTTGGGGCACTCTTAACAGGTGACAACTTGATGTACTCATATGGACTATTATACCTTCCTGTCTCCACTTATTCTCTTCTCTGTGCAATTCAACTGGCCTTTAATGCACTCTTCTCCTTCTTCCTCAATTCACAAAAGTTATCTCCATTTGTGCTCAATTCTCTAATTCTCCTTACTGCTTCAGCCTCCCTTCTAGCAGTTAATGCAGACTCTGAGAACCCTGCAGACATTCCCAGAAGAAAATACGTAATTGGATTTTTCTGTACACTTGGTGCATCAGCAACATACTCTTTGTACCTTTCCCTCGTGCAGCTTTCTTTTGAGAAGGTTATCAATAAAGAGACCTTCTCTACCGTGTTGAATATGCAAATATATCCATCTTTTGTTGCAACTTGTGGCTGTGTGGTGGGACTTTTTGCAAGCAGAGAATGGGAAAGTCTTGAAAATGAGATGAAAGAATATAAAGAAGGAAAAGTATCCTATTTGATGACTCTGATTTGGACTGCTATTACATGGCAAGTTTCCTCAGTGGGTTTGTTGGGGTTGATTTTTGAGGTATCCTCTCTTTTCTCTAATGTCATAAGTACACTGGCTTTGCCGATTGTTCCCATTCTTGCTGTGATATTTTTCCACGATAAGATGAATGGTGTGAAGGTTATGGCAATGCTGTTGGCAATCTGGGGCTTTCTTTCCTACATTTATCAACATTATCTAGATGATGCTAAATCCAAGACAAGCCTTACCAGTGAAAATGAGGTTGCTGGCGCACAATTGGAGACTGGTTGATAGTTTAAACACACGAGAATTAATGTACAAGGTAAGAGCTAGGAAATATAAGCAAGTCCTATAAATATAGAACAATTGCGGGAAGAAGTTTCTTTAATTTTGTATAGTCATTTTACCATTTCATCTATTACGGATTTGTAAATAAATGGAAGAAAGCAGGTTTGACCTTCACATGCAGCTTTTGTTTTTTAGCTGGACAATGGAAGAACATGAAGAAGAAGCTCATCATCGACAAATAAACCATGCAGCTTCTTTTCTAGACTAACGAATTCCTGATACTTGAAAAGCTTGCTCTAGAGTCTCGAAGGACAGCAGAGGAAGAGAGAGCTTGTCAGGCCCTGGTTCCTAGTTATGCCCCTGCACTTTCCGATAAAATCCTAGTGTAAGTAGGAATCTCTATAAAAAAGGTTTTGTGTTAGAATGGTTATAACTAGTTAGTCAGTATTAATGAATTTTGAATTTAAAAGAGGGTGAATCAATCATTAAACACTTGGGATGTTAAAATACTTCTGTGTTTTAGTTTTCAACATCTGTCCCGGCATTATAAGAAACATATTGCGCGCAAATTTATGCTGGTCTGGTTACAAAAGAATTTCAAGAACAAAGCCTATTACAGAAGCACGTTTAGACTACAATCTTGATAGGCTCAGCATGACTATTGCGCAGAGATCGGTTCATCATGCAGTTTCAATCAATTCATTCTATGGACTATCGTAATTCACGTTCTGTACTCTTGAGCTAACAAGTAGCTTAGCGTGGAGCTCAAGAGGCATGATACATGCTGAAATAATATTCAGCTTTGTTGCTGTGTCAGAAACTAGAGCTGAGTAGCTTAAATCGGACTATATTTTTAGACCTGCTGGCAGTAAGTTGCATATATATATATGGAAAAGTTAGAAAATTACAATAACGAACTTGGTCTCTGTGTATAGACCTCCCATGCAGAGATATAGTGGGTGTGTACGACATTGTGTTTTAAAAATATTTTTAAAAAAATGAATTTTTTTATATATTTATATCATTTTAATATGTATATATCAAAATAATTTTTTTTAAATAAAAAATATTATTTTAATATATTTTAAAATAAAAAACATTTAAAAAAATATTAGTGTGATAATATAATCCCGAGTCTTTGTTAACCAGTTAAATTCTTCTAAGATTGGTTTGTTGTAATCTAAATTCTTCGTCTATATATCCAACTTTCCAACTTTGAAGCGTTAAGAGGATTCGACTGTATAATAATGATCTTTATAAAATAATAGATTTTGAAACTTCTAAAATCTGTGTTTTATCACTTTGGATTTCATGAGGTTATGCTTCCATATCCATCCAAATTAGACTCATTAAATATACGTTTTTGATCCAAAAAATATTATAATTATAATTATAATTATATTATATATATATAAAAAAAACCCTAAAAGACTTCTATTCAAACATTGCATCTTCTTCTTTTTTGGCCCATAGAATTTTATATCTCAATTTTTTATTTTATAATTTGATCCTTTAAAATTACTTTGATTTGCGTTTGGTCTTAGTAATTAGTTTTTCATGTGCACACACGAGGGTCTCAAGGCATTGAGGAAATGTTATGTCACTTGGTTAAGTCTTGATTTTGCGAAACAAAATTTAATTTAATTGATTTACAATAAAGGGATCAAAAAGCTTAAAAAATGTTAAGTTCTGTTTTTATCACAATCAAGGACTGATTTGCATGATCAAGGAGCAAGTTCACGTGTTTTTTTTTTGGTACTTTAACTTTTGTTTTAATCTAATCTTATTGTATTGATTTTATTTGAGATTTAATTTAATAATATCTTTTAGTTGTCTTGATATGAGAATCGTACAATATTAAGATAAATTTATAAAATAAAATAGAATTAGACTAATTAAAAAAAAAGTGTTAAGAAAATAAAATTAAAACTAAAACAAAGTACAAGAACTAGGCTAAACGGGCGAGAAAAATAGGCGTGCCTGCAACTCATGCACCAACAGGAGGAAGGGTTCCATGTTCTTCAGATGGAGCGTGCGACGTTCAGCAACAACAAAAGTAATGGCTTTTGCAGCGGCACGAAAAGCGTCGTGTCATGATTTTGTACTAATGACCAATAGTCTTTATTTGATTTTGTGCCCTGACCTGATTTGATTGATTTTGTAGTCCCCGGTTAATTTAGTTTTTAGGCTTTAAGCCTTGATTTTTATCCAAAAATAAAAAATAAAAATGATTACATAATTAGTTTTTACAAATATTCCTATGAATAAAAAACTATCATAAAATAATTATAAAAATATTATCTAAATTATATTTGAAAGATCCGTTCTTTACTTACAATATTAAAAATTCGGATCATCTACACTTTCATGAGATTACTATTTAGTAATGTAGAAGTATATCCTTAAAATTACATAACGAATGAACTTCGTTTCAATTAACATGCCAACTTGGTCCAGCAATACCTTTTATTGTTAATAAAAAATACTCATAAAAAAATATAAAATATTTATGCGTGTAAAACATTTTAGCCATTTCATATTATATAATTTGATTATTATGGAGAATCGTAACATTTTGTAATAGGTTCTAATTTTATACTATAAAATACAATGTAGATATATTGTAGACTAAAAAGGCTTGTAAAAACCCCGTAAGAGCTTTACAAATATAAATATATAGAGTTGAAAAAACATATTCTTATAAAAGAATTTAGATATACAGATATAGCAGTTGTTTATATTTAACAAAATTAAAAATATGCTAAAAATCACTGTTGATCCTTGTACTTTCTAAATTCGATCAGATTAAATCATTTGCTAATAATTTGATCGCAGGGTCTTTAGTAATATAATGATGGTTGGTTTTTAAAATATTTTTTATATAAAAAAGTATTAAAATATTTTTTATTTTAAAAAATAATTTTTAATACAATACCTTAAGATAATCTTAAAACATAAAAAAATAACTTTAAATAAAAAATTTAAAATTCAAAATCTTAAAAAACATCTACTAATACGTTTGGTCATCAAAGACTCACTATTAACTTTTCCCGTTAATTGACCAAGAAACCCATTAGTTGACTTGTGAAAAACAGTGCCATGTTGGAGTAGATACTAAAATTTAAAATTCAAGAAAAAAATATGAAAAAAAAATATAAAAAAATCCCTAGATGGTTTGACTTTTCTAAACTAAGGTAGATTTTATAATATTTTTTTATGAAAAGATAAATGTAAAGTAACAGCTAACAAAGTCTCTAGATGCATTTTATTAGTTATATAATAATACAATAGTTTGAATGTAATAAATATATTTAAAGTAAATCAATGTAATGAAGTTTAATATTTTAGTAAAATACGTTTTTTTTAATGGTGAATCATACACATTTGAAATAAAAAACCATAAATAAGGCTAAAATTGCTAAAAACTAAACAGAGGTTATTGAATGGCCAAAAAAAGGGAAGTACAGGCGAATAGTGCGTGACCAAATTATTAAAAAAAGGGGTTAATATGATCAAAATAGAAAACTACAGGGACCAATAGTGAATTTTAGCCATTAAGCGATGACCTAGTGGGAGTTCAAATTCGAGTCACGAGGAGGTCCACTCCTATTCAAACCAACCAAGAGGTTAGCTGACGTGGCGCATCAGTATAAATGACACATACTTTCTCTCTCCCTCCAATCCCAAATAAACGAAATAAAACAAGAAAAGCGAAAATAGCTCTCTTTATCTTCCTCCTCTACCTGCTCTCTGTCACAATCACTTCGTGTTTTTTAGTTTCCGTTTTGCGCTCCATTTCAAATTCAAAAACAATCGCAACTACCTCCTTGCAGAAACATCTTGCAGTTACAGAAGAGAAACCTAAGGTTTCTTCTTCTCAAATGGCTACCATGGAGAGCTTGATTAGTCTTGTTAATAGAATACAGAGGGCCTGTACTATTCTCGGTGACTACGGCGGTGACTCTGGTGGCGCCGCTGCCGCTTCTTTGCCTACTCTCTGGGAGTCTCTTCCCTCTGTCGCCGTTGTTGGTGGCCAGGTCCTCCTCTCTCTCTATATCTCCACTCACACTGTATTTTTGTTATATATATTTGTGTGTTTTGGAAATCTGAAGTGGACGCGGTTGTTTTTGAAAGTTTCTCTTTATTTTCCTCTTTTTCTTTTACTTTTTTTTTTCTGTGTACCGTGCACGCATACGTATCATGTCTTTGTATGTGTTGCATACGTATGATTTTTTATGTGTTTTGATAATTTTAGTGAGTGTAGTAGTTTTTTTTGAGCTGTTAAGGTCTGCTTTGTATTTCTGTTTCAAATGAGAATTTGTTTTTTGTTCTAAGGATTTTATTTATTTTTCTCTTAACTTGAATAAAATTAATTTATCGAAAATGCAATATAACAATTTTCTGGCCATATATTTATGTATATCCAAGTGTATATTTATACGTATATAGGTAATAAATATTACAATATGTATGCTTTTGTGTATTTATTATTGTAGAGTTCTGGAAAGTCATCAGTGTTGGAGAGCATTGTGGGTAGAGATTTTCTTCCAAGAGGATCAGGTAAATTTTCAATTTATGTTTTTCCTTATTTTGTTGATTTCAGTTTAAAATCTGATTGGATGCTGAGAAATTTAAAAGAAATAATAGAAAATGTGAATGTTTTCTTAGGTATTAAAGTTTCAAGTCAACTGAGTCAAACTACTTTAGCAAATAGTTTTATATTTACTTCCTGGTTTGTTTTGTGGAACATGTTTTTGGTCCTGCAGTTTCCTCTTTGCTTTCTCCTACATTCTTAGTTTTGGACTCTGTTTTGTTGTTTACATGTGTGAATTTAAACTGAAACTTAAAAAAAATGCATAAATTGAAAGTTTTCGAATTATTAGTTGATGTGACTTGAGGAAAAAAAGAAGAAAAGTTGAAGTTATGAATTTCATATGATTTTTTTTTTGTTTCTCGCTTGTTTGGATTAATTACATCAATAATGTTTTGCATAAAATTTGGGTTATATATTGGTATAGCTTGAAATTTGATTGCACTTTAACATTGAAAAGAAAATGAAAAATGAATAATTTTTAAGTTTCCTTGGTTTGATTGACAAGAAAAAATATTCCTTCCACGTTTTATTTCTTATGGTTTTGTGTGATTTTCAGGGATTGTGACTAGGCGGCCTTTGGTATTGCAACTGCACAAGACAGAACCAGGGATAACTGAGTATGCAGAGTTTCTTCATAAGCAAAGGGAGAGATTTACAGATTTCGGTATGTGATCTGTTATGCTGATTATAGTGTATGATTGCGTTGCTTGGTTACATAATCTTTCAGAAAATAGTTTTGTTTTCTGGTGAAAAATGCTGACCAGATATGTGTCTTATCTCCCAGCCTGCTCCAGATTCCCTCTCTGTTTACACTTTTGACATTTTGCATTGTTTTTGTGCTTCTGAATTTTGATATGATTAGATGATTTATTTGAGATGACATGTTTCAAACATGAGGGTTCTAATGGCTTTCCGACTAAAATTTCGATAGGTTTCGTAGTTGAACTATTCTCATGGTATATGGGTTGACTACTTTCTTCCAATATTTCAAATTTGATCTCTCTCCTTATTTGGCCATTTTAAGTTGTTTATCAGAAAACTGCCACTGTCACAGGATATAAGTTATTTGGCTATAAAATGTTTGTGTTTCTCTACCCTTTTCTTATCTTTTGGAGTAGAAGGTACATTTACCAGTGGTTAACTGTATTTCTTCGTGTGCAGCTATGGTCCGAAAGGAAATTCAAGACGAAACTGATAAAATTACTGGGAAGTCAAAGCAGATATCTCCTGTTCCTATTCATCTGAGTATCTACTCCCCAAATGGTAAAAGAACTTGAGCTGTTCAGCAAACATCATATTACATCTATTTTCCAGAACACCATTTATAGCGACCCTTATCTTGACTGGATCATAATAGAATTACAATTTCGTTTTGCATATTTCAATTTCTTGCACAATGTTCTCGGTATATCATTTTTTTTTCCTTTTGCAGTTGTCAACTTGACTTTAATAGATTTGCCTGGTTTAACAAAAGTTGCAGTAGGTATACTTCTCTTTCCTTCTCTTGTATGATTCTGCCCTTTCTTCTGTTAAAATGCGTGTGCTATTTTTATTAGTGCATAACTAGAGATGTTTGTTAATGATAGAGGGTCAGCCAGAGAGCATTGTTAAGGACATCGAGAATATGGTTCGTTTATATGTTGAGAAGGTAGATCAAACTTATTTTTGAGCAATTTATTGATAAAATTTATCACTTAATGAGCATTAGATGTAATATTTATATCATAAATTGCTAAAAATATGCACAATTTGTGGATTTAAGATTGTATACACTTCTGTAGATTTATATATACACTTACACTAATGACTAGATTTACTCAATTATTGCATGTCTACCCTCTTTCTTTCTCTGAATTTGTGCTGTGGTTCTCTGAATCAGTTATGCTCTCTAATTTGCCTCTCTGGAGGACTCTTGTTATTTGTCTTTAGCAAAAGCAAAATTTTGGTGGCTAAGGGAGACTTGATTAGGGGCTCCACCTGCACTACACGTGTGCTCCAAACCACAGTAGAAGCTCTAGGAGTTTCATTTTATTAGTCTTTCCGTTTTCAGTGTTTTTAAACTACTGTATAATGTCTGTTTTCCATTGATCATAATGAATGAAGTTTCCAATACTTGTGATTGGTTTTTGATATGAATGTATGAGGTATTGCTACATTTTTTGGTTAATATTGATCTGTTGTTTTTACCATGTAATCTCTATTTGTTAATTGAAAGGAATTTTTTTGTTTTTTATCATCCCAAATTTGTGAGAATTGATAAATATATCTATTTTCAAGTTCTTTATGATCTGCTTCTGCCCCCCTACGTTTTAATGCACTAACATGTGACCAATGGAATGCAGCCAAATTGCATTATTCTGGCCATAACTCCAGCCAATCAAGATATAGCAACATCTGATGCTATCAAACTTGCTAGAGAAGTTGATCCAGCAGGTTTTACTTTCTACTCTCTTATTTTTTTTAGGACTCACCCCAGCCTTACATGGCGTATTCCCCTACTATTTTTTTTTTGGTGTTCTTTCCTTGATGTGGAGTTTTTCTGTTTCTTTCCAGGTGAAAGGACATTCGGTGTGTTGACAAAGCTTGACTTGATGGATAAGGGAACAAATGCACAAGATGTAAACTTTCTTGCTTTTCTCTGTTCTACTGCAATTCTGTAGCACTGAAATGTTTCGCTTCAGTCTAGATGATATGTGAAAAATGTTAATCCGTTCTATCAATTGAGTCCAAAATGGGCATAATTAGAGCATTTCATATGTTTTATGACTGCAAATAAAAATCAAATAAACCCCCTTCTACTTTTATAAGTTAGTGAGCATGTGTTTCTTTGCATTTGATAATTTATACTTAATTACATTCCTCTCTGTGCAATTTAAGGTTCTTGAAGGAAGGGCTTACCCGCTTCAACACCCTTGGGTTGGAATTGTTAACCGCTCTCAAGCTGATATTAATAAAAATGTGGATATGATTGCTGCTCGTCAAAGGGAGCGTGAGTTCTTTTCCACCAGTCCTGATTATGGACACTTGGCTGGCAGAATGGGTTCTGAATATCTTGCAAAACTTCTGTCCAAGGTTCAATTTCTGCTTTATATGCGAATCTGACAACATTTTCTCCACTTGTTATCCCAACTTGTTTATCAATTGCTAAATGTCAAGTCTATTAGGGTGAAATTCTTCTTTTCACCTTATCCCCTCGTTTTCAGAAACTAACTCTGCATGTCTAATGTAATGTTGACAGTTTTCCAGCTTATGTTAGCATTTTTCCACTTCTATAATTTTTTCTCAATTCCATGTACAATTGCTGATCACTAATGACAATTGATGTGTTTCTAGCACTTGGAATCTGTAATTAAAACTCGCATACCAGGTATCACATCTTTAATAAATAGAAGCATCGATGATCTTGAATCAGAGTTGGATCACCTTGGTAGACCTGTTGCAATTGATGCTGGGGTGAGGAGTTCATGTACTATTTGTTTATTGTTGATAGATGGACATCAGCTGGGTTGATTATTTACTAATTGTTGTTATGTGTGTGCAACAGGCTCAGCTATATACTATTCTAGAGTTGTGCCGAGCATTTGATCGTGTATTCAAGGAACATTTGGATGGAGGGTACCGTAACAAACTTTGTTTTTCATCATTCTTTCTGTTAATGAAACTGTTTCCAGCTGTTAGTGGAAGCAGCATCATAACACAATTTGTTACTTCATTTTGAATCATATCAATAGTAAATAAATAAGGCCAGGTCTCAGTTTTGATTGATTTTGTGTTCAAGGGAAACATGCATAGTTGCATTGAAGGAATTCTCATTCTCTTGATTGAAGTGCACTTGTTCTTTCATGTTATATTTGAATAGATCAATCTTAGAAATGCCCATCAATTCTTCATTATGAGCTGTTTGTTTTTGATGATATTGTTTTCCTTTCTAATTATCTGAATGATTAGATTCTTAGAACTGCTATAACCAGTTTTTTTTTTTTTTTTTTAACTAAACCTCAGGCGTCCTGGTGGTGATCGAATTTATGGAGTTTTTGACTACCAGCTTCCTACTGCTTTGAGGAAGCTTCCATTTGACCGTCACTTGTCTCTGCAAAATGTAAGAAAAGTGGTTTCAGAGGCAGATGGATATCAACCTCATCTAATTGCACCAGAGCAAGGTTATCGACGTCTTATTGATGGTGCACTTAATTACTTCAGAGGCCCTGCTGAAGCTTCTGTAGATGCCGTAAGTAACCATGTTTCTTGTTTTAAACTTCCATCATCTGTTCTTCATGATGAGTTTTCATATTAAGTAACTGGTAATGATGGATAAGGAATTCTTATATGTTCATGAGATGTTTGCTGGTCTGAAGCCGCAAGAAATTTCATGGCTATGGATGATATCTGAGTGATATGTATTCAAAACATTACAGAAGAAAAATAAATGGAAGTTTGGCTAACTTTCAGGAATCCTTTTCAAAGTTAATTCAAATAAGTAGTGTCTTATAAGAATAAGAGTCTCTGGATACGTAACAAAGGTTTGCATCACAAGATGTGGTCATAAAATTCTGTCTGAACTTTCCTCATTCCTACAAATTCCGTCAGATCTCATCCAGTCATGGAATCTGCAATATGTTCTATTGATCGGTGTTATCTTGCAGGTTCACTTTATTTTGAAGGAGATTGTAAGGAGGTCAATTGGAGAGACCCAGGTTTGGAATTCAGAAACTTTACAGGTGTATGACTGGAAAAGATCTAGAAAGAATGATAATTAGTGATTTGGGAAATGAACAGGAGTTGAAGCGCTTTCCAACTCTTCAAGCTGAAATAGCTTCTGCAGCCACTGATGCACTGGAGAGGTTCCGCGAAGACAGTAAGAAGACAACTTTGAGGTTGGTGGAGATGGAATCCTCTTACCTAACTGTTGATTTCTTCAGGAAACTTCCCCTAGAGGCGGAGAAGGGTGGAGATCCAACTGTCTCTAATGTAGACCGATACGCAGAGGGGCATTTTCGTAGAATAGGATCAAACGTATCCTCTTATGTTGGTATGGTGTCTCAGACACTGAGGAATTCAATTCCAAAGGCTGTGGTTCATTGTCAAGTGAAGGAGGCCAAGCGATCTTTACTGGATCTCTTCTATACCCAAGTGGGTAAAAAGGAGGTAGGGAAAGATTCTCCAATTTGATGTCATATAAACTTGGTGTTTTTTTTTTTTTTTACCATCTGCCTACTGCAAGACAATTACAAGTACGTGTTTTATTGATTTTTCAGTCATTTGTTCTGTAGGGAAAGCAACTTGCAGCATTGCTAGATGAAGATCCTGCATTGATGGAAAGGAGGCAGAAATGTGCAAGAAGGCTTGAGTTATACAAAAATGCAAGGGATGAGATTGATTCAGTCTCATGGGCTGCATGAGATGAATGATGAAGAGAAAATCTGATATAGTTAGTGATTGACAGGCATGATACGGCAGGCGGATTATATTAGCCTCTCGTGCAGCCAATTCCAGTTTTTTCAGCTGGGATGATCTTTTATATATCCTGAATTTTTCTCTGTTGCAAGTCTTTCAACCGCTTTCAGTTGCGGATGTCTAGTAGATTTCTCTTATAATCCTTGCTCAGGTTTTTTTTTATTTTAATTGTTTGATATTTTGTATGAATTTTCAAAATATTTTTATTCAGAAATATAGTTAAATAATATTTTTATTTATTAAAATTTATTTTTAATTTAACATACCAAAACAATAAAAAATTTAATTTAAAATTCTTAAAGTACGAACTAGCTCCTTTTAATCACTATGAATTGAAAACCTTAGTTGCTATCATTGTACATTTATTTAGTACACTATATACATTTGTGAGATGCCATCAAATCGTTTCCAATTAAAAATGCTTTACTGTTCGAGGCAAATCTGAACCCCTTTTTTTTTTTTTTCATTTGGCATTCTCTCTTGGAGCATTAGCAACCTCAGCCCGTTTCTAGCCACGATCTTCAGCCCATTTATTATTATTATTTCTTTTATAAGCCATCTACGGCCTTCAATCTTTCTGGGGCGACATGTATTTTTCCGTAGGAAAACTCGCTTCCAAGAATGTAAAGGCTATCATAATCACAGGGTTCCATCCATTATAAGATAACACTGCTCTTAGCGGGTCTTTAGTTGGCACACACTACGTCCCTGGTAGAATCAATTTTCTTTTCTTATGTAGATAGATAATGTTCAGGTATTGTGCGTGTTTTTCAGCAGTAAAAAAAAACATATATTACTAATCTTAAATGCATATGAATTTCAGTCAACCTCATGTAATAGAAACTAGAGTTCTTAAGTTTTAAAATTAAAATTAATAGAGGAAGACATATATATATATATATATATATATATATATATATTCTGCAAAAATATTTTTAAATTCAATAATATGATGAAAAAAATAAATTATCAACAATTTATGTAAAGGTATAAAATGTCCTAATAAAAAAAAGCCAAAGCAATTAAGATAACACCTGTTAAGTATACTTCAAAAATCATTCTAAATTAGGCTAATTACACTGAGTTGATCCTTTTATAAAACTGAGTTTTTAAAATAATCTAGTAAAATTTTAATCTAATATGGTTGGCACAAGCTATATTACAAGTAGAATATATATTTTTTTTAAATATACATAGATAATGTTCACGCGAATGTTTTCCGGCGATAAAAAAAATATGAATCATAAATTTAAAATAAAGTTTTAATTAAAAATAAATTTAATAATTTTAATGTGAGTATATTAAAAGATATAAGAATAACATGTATATTTTTGTGGAGAACTCTTTGAAAGTCCCAACAAACCCTGTGTTGATGGACAATTTTAAATCCTATTGTCCTGAATCCTCGTCTAATTTGAGTCTAATACAAAATTTTATGTGATTAATTTAATATGACTTTATTGATGTAACAGTTAAAAAATAATATGAAAAACTAATAAGAAAAATGTCTTGATTAAAACAATTTTCAAGAAAATATTTTTATTTTATTAAAAAAATAACATACTAAATCAATTTAAATTAATACGTTAAACTTATGATATAAGTTATGAATCTAACTAAGTTTAATAAATTTATGTTTTTAAAATTATTTTTTATTTAATTATATATTAACAAAAATAAGCTAAATGTTCTTCACTAGTCATACCATAAAGTTAAGTTCCGACGTATTTAACAAAAAAAAGATTTTTGTTTTCCAATCTCACTTGAAAACTTCTAAAAGAATCCTTACAGACTTCGATATACCCACTATTAACCTCACATTACCCTTCAATCTCCCCAGGAACAAGAAACAACCTGATGAAAAAATATTCTAGGGCCACTATCTATATCTTTCACTAAATTAAGGGTTAAAAATACTCTAGAATATATTAAAACTAAGAAAAATTTTATTTTGCCAAATTCATTACCAAACAACATTTTGTTATGTCATGAGAATCATATGTTAAGTTAATCAAAATAAATCATCAAAAGTCCATGCTCAAATCAACTCAATATAAAATAAATAAATTATATAAAAAAAAACTCAATGCTAAAAGAAAATAAAATTAAAGAATAAAAAAAATATCATGTACCACTATTATCATTCACAATATAATATGTTTGTATGTACTGGAAAGCTAAGAGATCTTGTAGTTTTTTTTAATTAATATTCAAAATAAAAAATTCTGTAACTCATTTGATATTATAGTAGTGATTTTTTAAAATGTTTTTTTATTGAAAAATATATTAAAATAATATTTTTTTAAAAAAATTATTTTGATATTAACACATCAAAATGATTTAAAAAAAATTATAAAATTTAAAATTATAAAAATATAAGTTGAAGAAAAAATAAAAATAAAGAAATCAATTTTGTTCAGAATCATTTTTGAAAACCAACCAACAAGCTCTAATTCATTATATCACCACGGCCCCTATCCCAAATGCCTAAATCAGAAACTTCCCGCACACTTTGACCCCTTTCTTTCTCCTCCAAGGTCGAATTATTTTAGCCAATGATGGAAGTGAGACTCAAGTTTCCATTCTCGTTTTCTTTTTTCCAGATTTATGGAAACAATTTACAACATGAGAAAACTATTATTTAATCCTGTGTTTTTAATAAAACAATGAGTTAATAACTTGATTAATCTTTATGTTTTTAGTGTCAATCCCTTTAATTTAAAAAATTAAATCTATGAACATTAGCGGGCTTTTATATATGTCTAAAACTTAGTTATTTTATTAGTTTTCTATGATAATTTAATTGGTTTTTTTTTAATTTCTTTTATTTTTATTCAAAAATCTTAGTCTCACTTACTAAAGGCAAAAATAAGATTGCATTTGAAAAGACACTTTGAGCATTTACAGAAGAATTTAACTGTCAAGATGCTATTATTAGGCCTCATTAGACAACGCAAGCCCTTAATCAAGCCTGTGAGCTTATTCAAGCCTGTGATCGAGATCCTTGTTCAAGCAGTATGTTTTACAGGTTAAGCAGTAAATAATGGTGGAAAGATGAGCAGTAATACACTATTTTGGCAATGAATTGTTCAAACTACAGCGTTTCCTGCACTCTCAAGCTCTTCCAGTGCTGCCCAGAGTTTTGGATCATTATAATCCTTGAGGAGAAAGGTAGGGTTTGCTTCCATCAGCGCATCCTCTGGGTTTCCTGTAGTCAACCCAACAACTGGCAACCCAGCTGCCACTCCAGATTTTATCCCTGAAACAGAATCCTGTTCAAGTGAAAACCAGAAAAGCAAAGCATCAGATTTCACGAAAGAACAATGGCTTGGAGCAATATTTGGAGGGAGCTGAGGGAAGAAGGGATACCTCAAATACAAAAGTGTGGTCTTTTGACACCTTGAGTGCTTCAAGAGCCTTCGAGTAGGGGTCTGGGTGTGGTTTTGGATGCTCACATTCACTTCCTATTATAAGAGCTTCAAAGAAATCTGTGAGCCCCAGAATCGATATGATGAGTTCAGCATTCTCTCTTGGAGCGTTAGTAACTGCAGCCCGTTTCAAGCCATTATCTTCAACCCATTTCTTCATTTTGTATAGGCCATTTACAGCCTTCAATCTTTCTGGGGCCAATCTGTTTTTCCATTGGAGAAATCTCATGGTAAGGGCTTCAGGAAAACTTATAACAATATAAGAAACATTGGCATTTTACCTCCGAAACACAGCTTCTTTATCAGCAAGAAATTTCATGCCTCCTTCAATATCATCAGGGAAGAGAACCAAAGCCATATCTTCATTATGCTTGCCAGAAAGTTTCTCAGAGAAGAACTTCTCGGTAATGGGAACCCCTCCGTTGAAATTTATCTATTACAAACCAAAATGCTGGTTAATCCCCTCCACTTCATTTTGTGTAATTTAACTCATTTGATTATTGATCAGAAACAACGACCATATTCATTAAACAAGTTACCTCTTGAAGCATTTCTCGAAAGGTAAAATAGTGAAGGGGATCAGAATCGCATAAAGTTCCATCAACATCAAATAATACAGCTTCCAGTGGAGCAAATCCGGAAAGAGAGCTTTTTCTGCACCCAGAAAACGAAGACAATTGAATCAAGATCATCAATCGCCATGGCTGGCGAGTCGTGCCCCTGATTTCTTAACCACCAACTAAGCATCAAAATTGCATCTTCAGTCCAGTTTGCTTCTCATATCATGCGCAGTGACTTGGTTATTATTATTTTCAATCCGCCTTTATCCATTTCCTTCCCCAGGGCCTATAATCTATTTTCCACAAAAAAAGCTGAGATGTTTGAACTTCAGGCAACGTGAAAATGTAATTCTTTTTGGATCTGGTTTTTGTTTCAATACCATTAGAAACATCATTTCCATCTTCGTGCTTACCATCCATTTAAAATTTGTATTACATTCAATAAAGAGGTTCCATGAAATAATCAGCCGAGAAAACAATATTTGGCTAGTTAGGTGGATTACAGAAAACAAGGGATGTGTTTTCAGCTGTCCTAACACTCAGCACCACTTGATCCGATGGATTCATTACATTTTTTATTCTCGTGTCTCAACTCTGAAGTTTTATGCTAACGCTTTTACTAATATCTGATAAAATCTCTCCCTAAATGATACATGCAACTAAAACATAAACAAAACACCTGGTGTAGAACCAGGTAATTAATTACAAAACAGGACAGAGTGGATTGAGACTGAGACACAGAATCATAGGCAGTAAAACCTTTTTGGTTTTCTAAACATCCATTGACGTACACAATCAACATTAAAACTTGGAAACGAAGATCAAGCAAGAAAGGAGATTAAGAGAAATACCTCTCAACCGAGTTTTCACCAGAAGAAACTGTCATTGCTATAATTTGATGCGAGGCTGCAAATAGCACAAGGGTCTATCTATACTCCTTGAGAAGAGAGAGCCTGTTCTTCTTTAAGGGGGTATTGAATGAACGAGAGGTCCCAGAGCCCAAGATAATTGAAGAGAACCAAATAGGGGAATCTATAAAAGGGGAGCAAAAGACGCGGGTGGGCTGCTTCACTGCCTTCTTTTTGCTTGTTCCTTGACTGAATTGTCGTGTTGTGCATCAGCAAGCGGCTCAAAGTGCTTTTCATATCTTTTTAATTTTTTTTAGCTAATGCATTTCACGTTACTACTTTTTTGTCTATTAAATACTGACATGACCACGGCCCGCCGTTTCAATTTTAAAAAAAAAAAAACAAAAACAAAAAAAATATTAACAAATATCAACCTAGGAATATGAGATGAAGAGATTTTTTTTTTATATAGTTTCATGTTTAAATTCTTACTTATTTATATAACTATTTATATAATAGTTGTTAAAAAATTATAAAGTTATTAATTTTAGAATTTATAAATTAATCGTGAAAGTTTACATTATTATTAATTTTAGTACTTATAAAATTAATTATAAAAACTTATATTATTATTAATTTTAGAATTCATAAAATTAATCATGATATATAAAAATTATTAATTTTAGAATTCATAAAATTAAAGTATATGAAATATAAAAATTATTAATTTTAGAATTTATAAAATTAATCACGTATATGAGAGTGAGCACCATCGCTACATAAATTTTAAAAAATACTAACAAACATCTCCTAGTCTAGTATTTTGTTTTTTCCTCTAGCTTATACTCTTTAAATCCTAACACATAAATTTACACCCACACCCCCACACCCCCCCCGGGGCCCCACCACTGTAGTTTGAATAAAAAATCTCAACATAAACTCTGACTGCCAAGTTAGCTAGATTGGATTGTGCCATTATCATTCTGTGAATCGGTGTAAGGTTGGAAGGGTTCATTCTGAAGGGCCTATTTGCAAAGACGTGGCTCCGAAAGTGACAAGAGTTCCGAATAGTAATTATCAGAAAATGCATAATCAGATCATAATGATCGAATATAAATTTGTTTTCAGATTACACACCGAAAGTAGAATACAATATTGTGATTCCATTTATTTTCAAGTAATTATCCCAATACCTTTGAGAAGCACTGCATACGCATGTTCTATATGAATGTTAGGAGTGACACATCCCCTCAAACCAAATGGATGCCATTCATTATGGGCCAATGCGCTTGATGTCAGACCGCAAGCAGCTTCAGGGGGTAAGATACGCAAGTTCTATTGGAAAAGAATTATTCAGGTAAATCATAATCCTTATAGTTACCAAGGAGATTATTCAAGCAGTAGGTTTTGCAGCAGCTGCTTGCTTATCAAGTTCTTCCAGAGCTGTCCACAACTTTGGATCTTCATAATCCTTTATAAGAAGTGTAGGCTTTGCCTCCAGCAATAAATGTTCTGGGTTTCTGGTAGTTAAACCAACAACAGGCATCCCGGCGGCCACCCCAGCTTTTATGCCTGAAACAGAATCCTAACCAAGGAAAAACAGAACAGAATGTTAAGAAAATTCCCCGAGCTTCAGAAGCTTAGAAAATAACAAATCCAAGAAGAAGACCAACCTCGCACACAAAGGTGTGGTCCTTTGACACATTGAGTACTTCAAGAGCCTTCAAGTAGGGTTCTGGGTGTGGTTTGGCATGTTGACAATCATCCCCAATGATAACAGCATGAAAAAAATCTGAGAGGCCCAGAAGTGAGATCATGAGTTCAGCATTTGCTCTTGGAGCATTCGTAACTGCAGCTCGTTTCAGCCCACGGTCTTCGACCCATTTCTTCAATTTGTATAGACCATTTATAGGCTTAAGTTGCTCAGATGCCAACCTGTTTCAAATAGAAGAGGTTACATGGTTTGGACCAAGAGAGAATCTCAACAGAGGAAATAACTGGTAGGTGATCTACCTTCGGAACATGGCTTCCTTATCCTCCGTGAATTTTAAGCCTCGCTGGAGATCATCGGGAAAGAGGGACAAGGCAATATCCTCATTATGCTTGCCAGCAATAGTCTTAACAAAGAATTCCTCCGTAATTGGGACCCCATCATTGAAATTTATCTGTTGGACAACGCAATGTGATTAGTTCTCCAATCTGGATTAGTAGTTTTCAAAAAGTATAGCTTAAGTAATAGGTCTATTAATTAGACAGCATGATTTAACATATTCACCTCCTCATGGAAAGAACATCTCCTGTTACAGCTTTGAATGGTGTGATGCACGTGTGTGGAAGAAAAATATGATCACAACACAATGAAGACCTGAGTTTTCAGTACAGAAGCATTACCTCTTGAAGCATTTCTCGGAAGGCATAGTGGTGGAGGGGATCTGAATCACAGAGAGTCCCATCAACATCAAATAGTATCGCTTCCAAAGGAGCAAGCCTGGAGAGAGAGAATGTACTGCATCCGAATTTTTTTTTTAAAAAAAAAAACGAGTGTGATCAAATATTGAAGAATCCCAAACGGCGAACAGTACAAATCTTTTATCACCAGCTTTTCAGGCAGTTACTTTAGCATCAAGAACCAGTGTCAAAACCACTTTGCCACTAGATTGAGTCACTAATATCCTTTCTCGTCATTCATTTTCTTCCAACATTACATGATTTTGACAGGAGGACAAAAAAAAGATATAAAAAACTTGTCCATTTAAGCTTGTTTCATCAAGCACATGTCAATGTATGAAAGATGTGGGCTCCTAATTATGATTTGAAGTGATAACAGGACAGTTACTAACTTATTAAAAGCATTCATAGCCAACAGTTCCAGATTTGGGAGCAACCAACTACTGTGAACCTATCATATCCTAGCTAGCTCCCACCACCGGTTCCTATCAACAACACTCATGCTTCGATTAAAAAGGAAGATCAATCCTAACAAAAACAACTACGTTTTGGGAAACTTATAAGACCCCTGTTTACTCTCGATGAATTAATTGTCCTAAGATAATAGTGAAAAGAAGAAAAAATAATATCGAGAGCAATGCACGCAATATCATCTAGCAGATCAGAGGGGAAAATAATAATAATAACAAAGACTTGTGGGTCTTCCTATTACTGAATCAATACGTATATGATGGAAACTCTAAAATGCATTAAGAAACAAGATTATGAAAATCAAGTCGATGGTTAGAGGGATCATAACTCCAAAAATAAAGAGAAAACCAACATCAAAAGAATGAAATAAAAGAGACGAACACAAACACATTAATGATCTTAATTTGTATACAAATCTAACAACTTAAAAGGACCCAATAAATAGCTTGCAAATATTAAAAGAAAAAAAGGAAAAAAAAACGCACGCATCACCAACAACATTTTCTGCAGAAGAAACCGTCATGTTTTGATGTTAGGGAAGCCTCGAGTGTTTTCGCTTGCTTTATCTAAAAAACAAATATAAAAATGGTTTGTGTTGTGAATTATATGAGATATGAAGGGGGCTGGTTTATTGAAATAATTTAAAGAGAGTATAAAAGAGAGAATCACTTGCTGGAGGTTGAAAGATTCCAGTTGCCGACTTGCGTCGCCTTCCTGTCCCCTGATCTCTGTTGTTTTGTTTTTTTCATTATAGCTCCCCGCATTTTCTACAAATATGAATTGAACTCCCTTTTCTTTCAATTTCTTTGGATAATAAGAGACCATTAGTAATTTTTACCAAATATCTTCTCCAATTAAGTGAGTTCCATCAACATAATGGTTTAAATCTTGAGCAAAGTGGCTTAAGATTAATGGATATCTTGGGAAAAATAGTCTTTTAAAATCTTTTAAAAATATTTTTATGTATATCTAACATTGAGATATGGTATAGAAAAATTACGACATGGTTCCTTGGCTTTAATTATATTTTATCTATCTTTAAAAATAAAAATAAAACTGGCATTGTTTAAAAATTATATTTTATCTATCTTTAAAAATAAAACTGGCATTGTTTAAAGATAATTCAATCTTTGTGGAAAAATTATTAATGATTTTAGTTACTGAAATTTATATTTATAATTTTTTTAAAAATATTATACAATGAATGTTGATGAAAATGAATTAATATTTAAACAAATTAAGATCTTGAAAATAAAAATACTATGTAGTAGTTCAATCTCGAATGTCACATTTCTGTGGCGTGCCTGTGACTTATTTTAATAAAATACAATAGTTTTTTTACCCATCAAAGTCAGTTTTGTTAAGGGACTGTAAATTTTGTTGAGAGTATAAACTAATAAAAGGGTTGCCAATACTAAATATAAGGACAATTAAGGATAATTAATGAATAAATGAAACTAGAGGGGTCTTCTAGCTAAAGTGTTGCCTATAGGGCTGCTTTTTGTTATTTTTGGACCGAAGATTCTTCATTTTTTTTAAGATTTGTTTAGGAATATAGTTGGGTTATTTTTTAAATAATTTTTTTTATAAAATTATATTTTTATGATATTTTTATTTTTAAAAATTTATTTTTAATATAGTATATTAAAATAATTTATAATTACTAAAAATATATTAATTAAAAATAAATTAAAAATTAAAAAATTAAAATTTTCTAATACGTTTTTGATATGCAGAAACGCTATAGAAGGCTACTCTCTTTCTTTTCTTTTTTTTTTTTTTTAAAATTAAAAAAAAAAAAAAGATGGTAAAATTAAGAGGCTAAACGTAGTTTAGCGTTTTTGTAGAAAGTAGTGGCGTCAACATGCCTACTTGAAAGTCACATAGTTATCGTCTATCTAGTATTTTTATTGTATCGTATTATTTTATAGTATACTAAATCTTGATTAAAAATTTATATATATATATTCTTTAGAAAAAAAATTATTATTTAATTTAGAAACAATTTAAATATGTTTATGATGTTAATAACTCGTTGTCATCCTTGGGGAAAAATTTTTTTTTAATAAATTTGAATTATCTATCCCTTTAGATGAAAGATTCATGATGTTGGTTGGATTTGAAGTTGGATTGCTCGCAATATTTAATTCAATTTGATATGATGAAGATAAATTAAATCATCTTATAATTAATGAGCGTATAAATTCAATTAATCAAATCTTACATAATATGGAATTATATCAGATTAATTAATTAATTACAAAAAGGTGTGCATCGTAATCTAAGGCTAAAAGCAACGGGTAAGAATATTCTCCTATTATTCCAACAACTCCTGCCTAACCTTTCAAGCTTCTAGTCTTCGAACCAATAAATTGACTCGATTTCCTCTCAATGAATAGTAATCTAAGGCTAAACTCAAACAACGTGCAAAAAATAAAAAGGATGCGCTGTCATAAAAGACATGAGAAAATACAAAAACGAAATAGGCGAAACATTAAAAAAAAAAAATCAAATCTTTCCCAGGTTTTGGTACCTCTAGGCAGCCCCCCCACCATGATGTTGAAGTTTTTTTTTTTGGAAAATATATATATATATATATATATATTCTTAGTTGATTTTATTTTTTTATTAGGTGTTACCAAGCTTTTTAAGTTTTTTTATTTGAAAAGAATAATTTTTCTATTTTATTTCTCCAATTATTTCATATTTTATTTTTTCTATTAATATTACTTGGGTTTTATAGTTTTTTTTATATAAAAGATTGTAATAATTTTTTGAAATGGAAGACATCCATGCTTGTATAGAAAAGACTAAGGATGCTTTCTATTGGGTAATAAAAAATCTAGAAACTAGTGTGTTGTTTTTTTATATTAATTGTTTTTATTGGAAATTTTAATAGTAAAATACATAATTGGACATGTCATATAAATATATTATATTAAGGATTCATGATGGGGCACGAAAGTATTGTGTTGAGACCTATATAATAGAGCAACCCACTCAATGTTAGGATTTCATGATGAGCTGGCTTACATACAAAAAAAAAAATATATACATAGTGGGGTCAGTGTCTAATTGAGGTCTAAATTAAATGATGAAATCCTTATAACTTGAGAAGACTGACAAATAAGATTTTTGAAAAAAAAAATATTTTCTTTGTTATTTTTTTATTTTTTTATATTATTATTCTTTTTAGTTTTTTTTTTTAATTTGAAAGGAATATTTTTTACTAGTTTATTTTTTTCTATCTAATATTACTAGGTTTTCTAGTTTTTTCAATATAAAAGATTTTCATATCATTTTAAAAAATGAGACTATAAAGAATAAAAATTAAATATTTCAAATATCTTCTTATATTTATAGTAATATTGGTCTTTTAAGATTTATAACTTATAGCATATTTTGTTATTCTTCACTCGTATCTACGTCACAACCTTATTTATAAAGGGACTTAGGATGTCATAATTAATTTCAACAAAAGAAATTAATTCTAACATTTTATAAAATAAAAAGCTAATTTATTATAGACATTTTAAACTATCCAAACATTTTTGTTTTATGATTTATTTTTCAAGTTTAGCAACTATTATTAAAAAATAAAGCCAAAACATTCATGTATTAAATTGAAAAAACTGATCAAATAGATTCAGTGAATCTTAACTAATATTGTTTATGGGATGGGACCAAAAAACAATTTCAAGACTGAAAAATTATTTTTTCAATTAATTAAATCTAAAACCAAACGGGTGCATAAGACTGATTTAAACCCAAAGTTCACATAGTATAGAGCCTTTAACCTCTAACAACTTTGATATTGAACCAATATATATTTTTTTCTTAATCGCATCTATATAAACCATGAGAAAATCTTGTAATTTTTCAATGTATAATTAAGGTTTTGGGTTTGAATAGTTTTTTTAATTAATAATTATTTAAGATTAATTTCTTATTTATTTATATTTGGTTTTAGATATGTTAATATTTCATGTTAAATTATTTATGTTGGAGAATATTTTTCAACAATTAAAGTATTTTTGTTGGAGAATATTTTTCAACAATGACTTAACTCTAAATGTAATTAACTCTTATATTAATATGCTCATTAACCATTTTTAAAAATAATTTCTAACAAATAAAACTTTTTTTGCTCTAATTTAGAAGTTTTATTAATAATAAACCAAACAGCATGAATTTTATGAAAAAATAAATATTTTTTTAATTATTTTTATATATTCTTTTTTAGTTTAGTAATTAATTTTTATTTTTTTATTTTTCTATCTTGTATTATTAGGCTTTTCTAGTTTTTCTATTTTTATTTTCCTTTTATGTAGTACTCAGGTTTTATTTTTTTTCTATATAAATAATTGTAATAACTTTTTCACAAGTATAAATGAATAAAATTAACTATTTTAATATCTTTTTATTGTTATGATATTCTTGATGTTTAGGGATTTTAACTTATAATAAATCTTGTCATCCCCACTCTCAATTACATTACAAATTGATTTATAAAGTTTTCATTTACTCGCTGTTTTGTGTGAAAGTATGTATGAACAATATTGTTTTATTCCCTAACACGCGCATAATATATAGTTTTCAATGACTATTATATTTTAGAACATTGTAGGGTAAATCCTTTTTTTTTTGTTTTGTTTCAAGGTTAATATATATTGGCCTCGAGTCTTTTGCTACTATAAATATTGAAAGAAAATTTAGCTATGTATCTCGAATTTCAATTCTATGTATTAAAAATTATCTTATATACCATACGTATTGAAAGTAAACTAGCACTTATTCCTTCTCTTTTTAATACTTTAGACTTAAGAACTAGTTACTTACTAGCTACTAGCACTTCCTCTTATTCAATTTTGATCTCCTCCATTCAATCTTATATAAACAATAAAAATAAATAGATTTTCATATAAAATCAAGAATCAACTAAATGAACTAAATGACAAGATGTTTTGTCGTGACTATAATATTCTGTAGAAAATGAAGAGGAGCAAATTACAAAGACCGCCTAATCCTAATAAAAACTAGGGAAATTGAAGAACCAAGAAACAGGAGCACTGTTCCGGTGCTCAGAGAATATGCACACATGCATGATTAGAATTTATTATGAATATGAATTTATTTTAATAATTATAATATTTTACTGATTTCCAAAACTGTAGTAAAACTCCGAATAATTTATTTTCCTTTTATTTTTAGAGACACGTAATCCAATCTCTACGCACAAACAAGTGCCCTTAATTAGTGGCAGTCTAGTTCTAGGATGCCCCAGGTTTCGGAAAGTTGATGAGAAGTTGATTACTTCTTTGCTACTCTGGGGTCTCTGCTTTACACGAGCCACCTGTGGCGTGGTGGTTCCAAGAGACCAAATAATTGGTTATTTCCTGGAAACTTTTTCCTGGGGTAGATATGGTTCATGAACCAGCACACATAAGGTCAAACTGATCATATCAAATGACGTTATATGGGTTAGATAGATATGGTTCGACTCATGTGACACAGGCATCACTGTGAAGGTTTTGCACGAGGGCTTGGTGATATGGAAGTTTTACTAGATTCTGATATTTGGGCTCCATTAATCCAGTACTTGTTTTGCCATTGCATACAGTCCAAATTACCTCCGTGCACTGCAACGAGCCGAGTATATACTAAGACAAACGGCGGCACTCGGTTGAGCTTTTACGTGGAGTAGAGGCCATAGCAAACCTGTCCGGATTCTCGAGGATGAAGTCTTCCCTTAATTTATAACCTCTTAAAGGAAAGACAAGGCCGAAAGAACAGAGAGGGAAAGAGTACGGCATTAGCTCCGAAACATGCTACGTACAATCATATATTGCTTAAGATATTACTCTAGACCTGAGGATAGTGGGACGAGACTACTGTTTTAAATTAAAGATCGAACAAATTAACAAGATTGGTATATTAGTAGCAATGAAAAACTTTGAGAGCTTGAACAAGGTTTCATGGTGGCATCTGACCTACGCAACACGTCATTACTCGTTCGACTCATGCCATACAGGGCTTGTAATTCTCTTGTAAAATATCAGGGTTGTCATCAAACACTATCTTTCTGGTTGCTGCGTGAAAGGTTCACGCGCACTGCACAGATATTTTAAAACCTTTTTGAGTGAATTTTACTGACGGCTTGCTGAAACTAGTGCTTCCTATCGTCATGGCTGATGTGGCTTCCTGCCAGTCTCCGTCGGCATTCTGCTTGCGCGTCTTCTCTAGCCTGTCAAGTAATTTCCAGCCAGCTTGGCTAAATTCTTGCGCTCATGAAACACAAGTAGTTAGAACTTGGAACAGGCAAAGATAATAAATGGACTCAACTTCGGAGGACCATATTAAAAAAAAAAAAAAAGACGAGACGACAAAAATATTTTTCATGTACATGCAACTTAGCCCCAAAAGGTATAAAATTAAAAGGAGCCCCAAAAGGTATAAAATTAAAAGGGGCTCAATATCTGTGATGTCTTCAATTCAATCTTTAAAGATTTAATTGCTATAAACTAATAAAATTAAATTTTATTTTACAAAATCAAGCATTAATGCATCATTAAAATATACTCAACACCTCAAATCCCTATCCATATACAAACAAAACAACCCGCAAAGCCGATACCCGTATAATTGCAATGCTAGAGGGCCAAATTTAAAATAAAAAAATTGAAAGAACAAAACATAAAAAACGAAAAGACAAACAAAATGAAACTATTGAAGATTACTGTTGTATCCACATTGTTTATTAAGGAGGTCTATAGTAATTTCAACTTCAGATTTGCAGGGCTAAATTAAAAAATAAATAAATGAAGGACCAAAATATAGAAAACTGTAGGACAAAATAAACTAATGTGGATTACGGTCGAAATGTACAGTAATTCCTCCTTCAGTTTCAATCCTTTTGTAATTCTAATGTGATGTGATGTCAAAATTCTTTGGAATGCTTGAAACTGTGACTTCTGAAACATAACACAAGATGCCAGTCATCTCAGTGGTCTTCATTCACATTTTAATATTTTATGATCCAAGTTCAATGTTTTCAGAAGAATCTGTTATTTACTCAGAATCCAATGCACAGTTTTCAGTTGAGCAAATCATGATTTACTGTGTTGTTCAGAATTGTATTTTATAAAGTTTAAATTTATTTTTTTATTTTTTTAAATTGTTTTAATGTGATAATGTTAAAAATAATTTTAAAAAATAAAAAAATATTTTAATATATATATATATATATATAAAAAAACAACTATTATTACACTCTACTCTTCCTTATAAATGTGCGTTTCGTGCACACCTCCCTACCAATATAAATCAAAACCAGTGTGATAATAACTAGTGAGAAAATTAATAGATGCCCAATCCATGGGCTCTTCTGTGGAAATGCACCCAGCTGCCCTCCATTTTACAAAGTTCTCCAGTCAGATTGTTTAAAGTATCCAATCCTAGTTGCATCCAAACTCCCTCTCCAATCAGCCATCATGGTCCCGCAGCTTGTCCGTGTGAACAGCTAACATCTATTTCCACGAATGCATGTTTTTATGGTAAGAATATTTGAGAATATATTAAAATAATATTTTTTTTACTTTTTAAAATTTATTTCTAACATTAACTCATAAAAAAACATTTAAAAATATTAAAAAATTGATTTAAAACAAGAAACATATTCAAATTTTAACAAAAACATGGCCCAAACTCATTGCCGAACACACGAGTGGAAGCAGAATAAAACGTGATTAGAAATGCACGCTAGAGAACTCTTGAATTTGGCAAATTAAAGAGAACACTTCACACTGAAAGCAGTTTAAATAAAGACTTCTTGTTAAGACCAAAGACTTCAACAACCAAAGAAAAAGCGCTATAAGGTTGTAAAGGAGAGAGATTGCAGTTTTTTTATACTGTACTAAAACAACTCATCCTAATACCAGTAAACAACTCATCCAAATACCAGGTGTGTAAGAAATTATGATAGTTATGGTTTTAAAAAAAAAATTTGGTTTGAGAAATTAGGTGTCCGGATAAAATTACATGCATGGATGAATTTTTAGTACATGTAAAATGAAAAGTAAATCTAATAAAAAACAAATTACTTTAGTTGAAACCAAGGTTTGAAATACATAATTGTATGAAGTTCCGTTCCATGTAAGAAATAAAAGCTATATGACTAATTAAAGTAGTTTGTTCTTCTGTAAAAAACCAGAAGCCACCACGTTACTAAACACTCAATTAGAAGGTCGCTTGGAAACAACCATATCAGAAATTCCACTCAATGAAAATATTGTTTTATCTCAATGTCAAACTTGGCAATGCCTCCCAAACTAAAGAACATGGGCGGCTTGTTTCGCTATAAATACCACAAACCTTGTTTATTTCATGCATTACCCCCTTGTCTTCTTTGCTTTTATTGTCTTTGCTCTTTGTATACCGACAATGGTTCCTACTCTGCAGTTCCTTTTGTTCCTTTCAGGAACTTTGCTTTTTATGCAGACTCTAGCAGAGGCTGCAACATGTAGCGACTGTTTCATTCATTCTAGGGCAGCTTACTATCCAAATTCTAATGAAAATGGAACAGACAGTAAGAGACCTCTAATAAAATATTTAAAAAAAATTAGATTACTACCAATTGAGCATGCTAATAAAATATTTAAAAAAAATTAGATTAACCGTGCACTTACTACCAATTGAGCATCCATTCTTACGAGTCTCTTCTTATGAATTGCAGCAGGCAGATGTGGATACGGTTCATTTGGAGCAACCCTTAACGACGGAGATGTATCAGCTGTATCTGACCTCTACCGTGATGGTGTCGGCTGTGGCGCTTGCTACCAGGTACTAATTAAAAGCATCATAATCACTTGTACGCAAAATATTAATAAAAATAATTGCATACCAACATTTTTTTCCCCCTGCTATAGCATTACATAGCCTGATTCTATATTGGTTCTCTTTATATGTCGAAATACTCACCATTGTGATTTACTGAACCAGGTAAGGTGCACCGACAGTCAATATTGCACTGACAAAGGAGTCACCATTGTTGTAACCGACCATGGATCAAGTCATAACACTGACTTCATTCTCAGCAGAAGAGCCTTTAGTCGGATGGCTCAAACAACAGATGCGGCTGCATCTTTATTAGCCCTTGGAGTAGTTGATGTTGAATATAAACGGTAAGATTTGTGTGATGACTTTATGCAGAAGACCTCTTATTTTTTGATTCACAAGAGACAGGTAAAAGAAACTTGTGACTCAATCAAAGAGTCAAACGCTACGCTTTTAATAGGGTGAGGAAAAAGAAGTGTATTGGTTTTAACCATCAGCACGGCCAACACTTCAAATAATCTCCCCAAAGATGAAGTCTTAAAATAGTAGGGTTATCATGCATCATTATTACGAAAAATGCTACCATGGCCGGCTATTCCATTGTTTTCCTAATGAAAACTTCTGCTCTGTATTTCATGAAGGTTTGTCAGGGACTAATTCAACTCTTTCTCCATGCAGTGTTTCATGCAGCTATCCAAACAAAAACATAACCATCAAAATCGATGAGAACAGCAACCACCCTTCTTACATGGGTTTTGTCGTTTGGTATCAACAAGGAAGGAGGGATATCACTGCTGTTCTCCTGTGTGAGGTAATATGCACTGTATGTAAATATTAAATGCACCTTTTAATCTTCGAAATAATTTACTATCCAATCACTTGATTTCGTATTCAGCTTCAAGAAAACTATGTGTCACCGATGATATTAAAAGGGAATTTTAAATAGTAAAATATGATGGCAAAGGGAATATTAGCTGATATAACACAGGAAGAAGAAACTGAAAGTAAAGATAGTAAGAGCAGCCACTAGTCTCTAGCTCATTGTATAAAAGCAAGCAAAATTAAATCGTCCAGTTTTTACATGTTATTTGAGTCGGTGAAACTGTTACTAACAAAAGTTTTATGCGCAGACACAAAATTTTGCGTGCAAGGTCTTGGACAGAACCTATGGAGCTGTATGGACAACTACTTCACCCCCCAGTGGACCCTTGTCACTTAGAATGTTATTCAGTGAAGAGGATGGAGATGAGACATGGGTAGTTCCAGTCAACAACATACCTAATGACTGGAAAGCTGGGCAAACATATGATACAGGAGTACAAGTGAACTCATAAAATCATGGGAAGCAGATAAATTTATCCAAACAAGCCCCTAGCTCTTCATTTTATTTATAATTTTATCTTTTTGCCTTTGTACACTGGTATACGGTCTAATAAGAGAAATTCATGAAAGTTTAATGTTGACTGTAAAATTTCCAGGCATACTAATAAAATTTGAATTTTTTTTCCTTTACTCTCCTCCTTATCTTTAGCCAGAACGTCTGCTACTAGTCAACATCACAAATTTAATTTAAATAAAGGAAAAGACTGCACTTATACCTTTAGATGCTTACAAATCAATATACTTTGGCGCATAGCAGAGTTACTGGCGAATAAGATTTCGAACTTCTACACCAACTAGTCAACATCACAAATTTAATTTAAATGAAGGAAAAGACTCCACTTATCCCTTTAGATGCTTACAAATCAAATATACTTTGGCGCATCGCAGAGTTACTGGCGAATAAGATTTCCAACTTCTACACCGTTGATCACCGTTGGAAATAGAAGGGTGCAAGAGGGGGGAAATTCCTCAAGACATTTACGAAAGTGAAGTCCAACACTTCCTTGTTCCATCTAACAACTACTACTTGGGTACTGTGTAACATATAAAGAGAAAATCAGTTGATGTCAGCAACCTAACCCGATTGTGCTAATTGACTCATCATCCTTCCATTATCAGAGATTAACAGCATCAAGTAGCATCTTTGACTAAAATTCTCAGAAGATGCAATCAGACCGGAATCCTTGCTAAAATGACAAGATGTCGTGTTACTATTGGAGACCTTAATTTGGTTGCGGGATAAAAACAAAGTTACAGATAAATACTAAAAGAATCATGGTTTTCCTTTCAGAATACCTCTTTTACTTGAAGATTCAAAGTTATGTAGCATGCACTTAAAATCCTGTAAATACACCACCTTCAGAAAGCTCCGAAATCCAGAAATTTGCAAGAGGTATAACCTTTTAAGTGGAGAGATTACTCTCAAGCAGCCCATCTCTATCTGTTAGCAAAGAGTGATGAAGTTCAGCTTATCTAAAACCAAACATCTGTTCAGTTGAGTTCAAAACAAACAAAATTTCAAACTGGAGATTCTGTTAGTGAGAGAAGTGAACTACCTTGCAGCCTCCATTGCTATCACTAATATTACATCGTTCTTGCCGAAAGGAATTAAGATTTGCATGAGTAGCTCAATCTATTGCTGGTTTTGCAGGAACTTTTGTGTTCGATAATGTTTCTGCTTCAAGTTTGAAAAGGTAAAAATAGCCCCTTTTTTTTTCAAGTTTCCTTACATGAACTGACAGAAGCATGTGATAAAATTTATGCCTAGTGTTTAAAACCTGGGAGAGAATCTGAGACTGTCTCACGATTGTTTTACATTCTACCCAAAAGTTTGTGCATAACCCATGACCAATTGGACTCCCGGAGGCAAATCTAACTTTAACTGTTCTACAGTCACTTGGCATTAACAACAGCAATGAAGGCCATGGTAATTACACATCTCATCGTCATGAGTGGATGAATAATACATTGGAAAACCTAAAATATTAACCCCCTTGAGGACCATGCCATTGGTGATCTGCCAAATTTACGATCAAAAGGCAGCAATTCCAGTGGCTGGTCTTAATCTTTATAAATAAGCTTTCCCAAGGGAAATAAATAAATAAATAACGCCAAACATGAGTTTTTGCATGTAATTTCACCAAATCTACTGTTTCTTGTTCTCTTTCCCCTGTTTAGATGACCCTATTTAGGTAGGGTTTGGTACTATAGTGGCAGTTATTTTTTTGATCGGAAATGCATCAAAAACAACAAAGACGAGGCAACTAGAAACAAGCAGCTTCAATCAACCCAAAATTTACTCTGTAAACTCCGAATATGGTGACAAGGCTCCGTGCCTTTCCCTGGAAATAGTGCAACCGCATTTGCCAAATAAAGTTTTCCCTGATGGCATATTAGAGATCGCAAGGATAAGCCACAATTGATCACTGATCTCTGGGCAATGATTGAGGTCTCAGGACCTGATTCAACAACTCAGTTCATGACCACCTTGAATTAAAGCTGTTGCACTTTTTACTAGTCCAACATGCTTTAGCTTTTGGACAAAGATAGAAACTACCCTCAAGCTCTTCATATGAGAAAATATTGTTGAGAAAACTACGAACAAATAACTGGATATCAATTTAACCGGATCAATTTACAAGTTTCAATTTTTTTTCTTTTTTGTGCAATCAAAATCAAGATCAACCAATTAACAAATATAATGTAACAATCACATAAATTAATAATAAATTAACAACAAGATTTTTACGTGAAAAACCTGATGCGGGAAAAACCACGGGACTATAGTCCACCTAAAAACTTTCACTATCAACAAATAATGAGTTCACAATTGTTCTTCTTCAAAAATAATGAGTTCATAATTGTTCTTCTTCAAATTCAACTAAGAGTTACAGCATATATATCATCAAAAACAACATATTCTTGGAATACAATAAGATTAAAGAGAGAAATGTTTAAGAAAAGCTCACAACACTAACAGCCTTATTTTCTATCAAAATGACCAGCTTCCACACCACCAATCTTCAATCCAACCATTCAGAATGAAGAGTAACGTGTCTAGAAGCTGCTATCAAAATCTCAGCCCAATCCAACAGTGAACGAGCTGGAAATCAAAGAAAGAAGACATACTGCTCTACTTCCTCTTTCTTTCTCATGTTTTTCTCCTCTGTTTTTGCTCTTTTTCAATTCTATTCTACTCTCTCTGCCTTCTACAGTGGCAAACCATACATTAATTCAAAGAGGTAGCCAGCTGCCTTTTACTAATTAATGTGGTGATCCCACCATCACATGGTACGGAACCACACATAACAAATCTTCACCTAACACATTATATGAGGAATTCGTCATACTGATGATCAACATGTAAGCTTTAATTTAGAAGGTTCTACTAAGCTTGTTTTCCTTCTGCAAAACTCAAACTTCTCTCTAAGTAGAGGTTTGGTCATCATATCTGACACATTGTTATCGGTATAGATCTTCTCAACAACAAATGACTTCATCTTTATAGCATCTCGAATCCACTGATATCTAACCTCAATGTGCTTTGTGTGAGGTCCATTGAGGTTAGATATCAGTGGATTCGAGATGCTATGGAGATGAAGTCATTTGTTGTTGAGAAGATCTATGCCGATAACAACATATCAAATATGAAGACCAAACCTCTACTTAAAGAGAAGTTTAAGTTTTGTAGAAAGAAAATTTGGTAAAACCTTCTAAATTGAAGCTTACATGTTGATAGCCAGTATGACGAATTCCTCACATGGTGCATGAGGGGAAGATTTGTTGTGTGTGGTCCCGTACCATGTGACGGTGGGACCACCATATTAATTAGTAAGAGGCAACCAACTGCCTCTTTGAATTAATATATGGTCTACCACTATAGAAGGCAAAGAGAGAGTAGAATAGAATTGAGAAAGAGAAAAAACAAAGGAGAAAAACATAAGAAAGAAATAAGAAGAGGCAACAGAGTAGTCTATCTTCTTTCTTTGATTTCCAGCTCGTTCACCGTTGGATTGAGCTGAGATTTTAACAACTTCTAAACACATTATTCTTCATTCTGAACGAATGGATTAAAAATTGGTGACTTCTAGACACATTACTCTTCATTCTGAACGAATGAATTAAAAATTGATAATATGAAAACTAATCGTTTTGACAGAAAATAAAGCTGTCAGTGTTGTGAGCTTTTCTCAAACATTTCTCTCTTTAATCTTATTGTATTTCAAGAATGGGTTATTCGTTATAATATATATGTTATAACTCTCTTTAATCTTATTGTATTCCAAGAATGGGTTGTTTCTTATAATATATATGTTATAGCCTTTAGTTGAATATGAAAAAGAACAATTGTGAACCCATTATTTGTTGATAGTGAAAGTTTTTAGGTGGACTGGTCCGTGATTTTTTCTATGTGAACCCATTATTTGTTGATAGTGAAAGTTTTTAAGTGGACTACGGTCCCGTGATTTTTCCTATATCGGATTTTCCACGTAAAAATCTTGGTGTTGATTTATGTGATTATTGCATTATATTTGTTGATTGTTTGATTCTAATTTTAATTACAAAAAAAAAAATTAGAACTTGTGAATGGATCCGGCTAGTTTGATGTCCGGTTATTTGTTCCTAGTTTTACCAACAAACATGGACCTCCATATGGATACTGCAAAACAACGGTTGTTCTCCTTGCATCATTTGCTGAAAATTGAAAACACTGCAAATATTATATTTATCCAATTTCTTCGATCAATTAATTCAAAATATGGGTTAGTCCGTGCAAGAGTGAGCAATTAATTCAAATATAAACTCACCATTACTTCGATCAACCCCATCCCAAAGTGTTCCTGGTTTTATACCATATCGATTGATTTGGTGCAGCATCAAATCCTCGTTTTATCCAGCTGGGACCTGGTATGTCCTGGGGAATTAATTCCGTCATCTTCTCACTATCCCCTAGGTCTACAAGAACAGGTTCAGAGCACTTTTTCTGCAACATGTCAAGAATATCCGAAACATGTCAAGACTCAATATTTAAGAATCAAAGTCAAACAGAAAATCATTTGTATTTTTAGAAACGGAAAACACTAGGTACCAAACCGCAAAATCTAAGCCAAATTTTAATCGGTCAGCTAATCACCTTGACCAAATGTTACAATGGGATCATCCCATCGTACTCTTTTCTTCAGCATTTTGTCAAGCTCTAGATCATCCCTGCAAATACAACATGCATCAACAAATTGCTATATCACACAAAGGTTCATTTCTTTCCCTATCTTTCTTTGGATTTAAAAGAAGACCCCAACATTTTTCCCTCATAAAAAAGAACAATAATATTAAGTTAAAAGAAAAGCTTTAAAAAATTGATGTGATCCTTTAATGAGAGAAACATGAAGGATACAGCAGTCCACAATGCTATTAAATAAAATTAACAATGAGGGAGCTTTCATCATGCATCTTATTCATCCAACACGCTAATCTAGTGTTAAAAAACATTCAATCCAAGATTTCAGTTTCAGAACAAACACACTGCCTATTTTGCATCGAGAAATTGTTCATTGCTAATTCTTAACAGATTGAGCAGGTAGCCTTTGAAGAAAATTTGGAAAAAAATGGATATTGAAAGTGGCTAGCTTCTCAGCTTCTTATTTACATCCAGTTTTCTCGTCACACAGTGCCAGTCTTTGTTGCCGGGATGATGGGTTTAGCAAATCAACTTGAAGGGTTTTCTTTTTCTTTTCTTTTCTTTTTTTTTTTTTGGTATTTTTTTAGCCAAATGGTATTTTTTACAGGAAGCTGAAATTCTATCAACACCACCAACAACAATGATGACAATTGCAGATGTGTCCAATAGTTAATCAATGACTACTTCAGTTTGCAACAAGCAATATTATCAGAGACTTTTGGTAAGGGATACTGGAAGAGTGTGACAAGGTGAGAAATTCGATTAATAGCGGGCAAAACAGAACTGACAAAAAATAAGAGAGAAAAGGAGAGATTCCAGAGGTTTATTTGGTAAAATAGCTAGCATAAAAAAATTTCAGTTGACTGATACAAACATGAAATTACGACACATTCAAAGCAAATACTGGCACCAAGGCATTGTTTGGTATGCTTAGTCTTACCTAGTCCGCGCAAATAACTTTTCCTTCTCCAGGTCTAACTCCTCCAACCTAGCTTCAGCTTCCCGCTTTTGAGCCAAGCCCTTTCCCCACTCTAACTTACTCTACTGATTAAACAATGCAGCGAAGAAGTAAAACTCATGCTTCATGTATGAAAAAAGGATAAAAAGATAACTAAAACACCAAAAGAACAAAATAAATACAGAATGGTCCGAAAATAGTTACAGGAAACAAGGAACACTCATGTTGCAGCACGATACTTTATCGAAGAAAATTCCAAACCTATTGGAGGCTTCATAATATTAGTGCCCTAAGGACATGTCTTTGGTTTGTTTACGGCAACATAATATCATTTCCCTCAACAAACCAAATAGCATCCAAACTCCAAACAGTACCAGGATACAAATTAACTTACCAACTAAGCCCACCATCTAAGAGCCTACCCTGTTTTCAAAACCCATGCTGCGAACCACATGTTGAATTTTTCTGGTAACTATGTCCATGCAAACACCCACACAGAGAGAGATAAAAAGCCATTAAAGAACTGTGCAAACTGCAAAACCCCAATCCTTGCGAAATAAACATCCATCCAAACATATAAACAACTTTAACTAATATCAACAAGGCTCTTTTATCCCAAAAAATCATATAGTTCCAAGACAATACCAGTCAGATTTAAGTCAGTGAATCCACTACCACAGAAACAACTAAAGTATCAAATTATGACATATAAGACCACTCAAGAATGTGCGTTCATAAATACAAGTTAAAATAGTACCCCGGGTTTTTCTTCAACTTTTTGTTTCAATTCCAAGTAATTATCCTTTGATATGCACTCTTCTGCTGTATTGATTAGTAAAGCATGGTTAAAAGCATGTTCAAAGTATCGTTGGTTACACTCTCAAGTAGGATAGGTTTCATGAAACCAAAACATAAGCAAACACCAGCTCGTTCACTTCTCCATGTTACTGTCAGATTGCGCATTAGCTATATTAAATCAGCATAGAATGCCACTGCCCTACACCATGATATTCATTAAGGGCCACCAAAATGTTCTAGTTTAAATTAAGCATCAATAAATGGAAGCCAAAATTGTAATAAGAAATTTATGTGTACAATTTAATGGTAAAAAGAGCAAGAATTATAAGAGAAAAGGTACTATTCCTTTTTTCAAGACAAAGAAGCATTTTCCGGCCATTAGTGGTAATTTTTGCCTGATTCAATGTATTTGCAAGCTGAATGCTGGAAATATTACTCATATCACAAGGTCACTTAAATATGAAAACAACCCTATCGCAAAAACTCACAGGCTTGATGAACCCCTAGTTTGGCAGACATGTTGAACCCTCAGCAAATGTTACTGATAAATCTACAACTGGTGTTCGATTATTCTCACCATGATCCATGGCAGTCCCCTGTAGTAATTTAGACCACAAGGCCCTTCCTAATATTTTCAATGTCACAAACACACGAAACAAAGGGTCTATTGTTTCACCATCAAATGAGGTTAAACCCAATTTCAACAAAAGCGTTTTCACTTATGTTCGGAAAGCGTAAAATATAGAGAGACTTAATTGGTTTTACATCAAACAATTGGAAATGGAGGAGTATTTTAACACCTTTTGGAGTGAAAAAAACCAACTACCACAACCAACCACCTATGCATGATTTAAGAAACTCCTACAACACTAAGTCCACATCCTAGAAACACACAGAAAATCTTATCTCCCATCTTAGAACATCTTTACCCCATAGTTCAGTTTATGATGAAACAAACAGCAGCTTCAGCTTCCACAATCACATGTAAGAAATCCGTATGGTTAATGCGTGCCAGAGAGCTGATACTGGTTAATAGAAGGTTTTTATTCAAAAGAACTCACAGTTGAAATGAATATGTGAACAGACATTGCGCAGATGGAAAGAACATAACTACTTAATTAACCATGAAATAAGACAAATTCAGCACATGAAATGAGCAAAGAGATCAAGCACTTTAGACGCTCATAGGAACTTACAACAATGATGCGTCCTTCTTAGTTTTAAAAATTTCTTCCCGCCTACCACGACCAGTAATCAGACCAGTTTTTGGCTGTTCCTTTGAAGAAGCTGAACCAGATGATTCTTTCCAGTTTTTCCAGGTGTAGAAATGTCTTGAGCCATAGATGCACGTCAATTACCACTCTGAGTTGAACGCTGCCGTGATGATTGAGAATTATCAGGTGATCTTGATCCCTCAACATCCTTCTTGCTTCTCCTTGGGGGTGAAAGATCTGACTCGGGTTTCGGTGAAGGAGAATAGTGCCGTCGCCTCTGTTGTCTTGGAGGTCAATATCTTCTCTCAAAGGCTTCATTCAATTTAGGCAGTGCAGAAGATGATTCAGTATCAACCCTACGTCTTCGAGGTGGTGACAAATCAGGATGCAGACCACTGGAATGTTTGGATTTCGTATCAGGTTCAGGTGATGGAGAATGATGGCGTTTTCGCTGCCTTCGTTGTGATCACAAATCACTACCTTCTCCTGAAGGCTTCATCGGCGGTTCTGGAGGTAGAGTATCATTTCGATACCTTCATTGATGAGGTGGTGACAAATCTGAATTCAAATTTGTATCAGGTGCAGGAGATGGGCTATGGTACTGTCTCTTCCGTTGACGTGGAGGTGACAAATCTGTATCATCTCCACCATACTGCAAATAATTCCCTTCATGCTCAGGTGAAGGCATGTCGATCTAAACTTTCCTTTTAAGAGGAGGATACATATTGGAACAAGGATCAGCAGAAATCGCACGTTTAGGAGAAAATGTAACCCAACGATTTCCATCCTCTGCTATTGCATTGTAAGCCCGTTGAGCTCTAATTAGCTCCAGTATACTCGTTCGTTTAACTTCTCTGTCTTCTTCGTCAACTTGAGGCTTCACTTCATCTAGAAACACACGAGAATAACACACAAACACATTATCAAAGCAAGATCCAAATCCTCAAATACACTAAGGTATAGTACTGATATTTTTTATTTTTTACCAGCTGAATCATGTTCTTCCACTTCTTCAAGCTTTACTGGTTTCTTCCAAACAGGATCTTCATCAGCAACCAATGGCGGAGCCACAGAGGTAAAAAGGTAACAACTGCCCCCCATAATGTTTTTTATATTAAAATATTAATATAATAATATAGTGGATGGTTGCTTTTGAAAAGTTGTTATTGACACTCATTTCCTTTCCTTTTTTTTATCTTACCCTAGTTACTGTCTCCCTCTTATATACTTCTCCAGCTCGCTACTTGGTTTTCTTCGGTAAACAAATTTTTCTTCAAGTATAGTTAAATAATTAACTTTTTTATTTTATTTTTTGCTTTATATTTTAAGTAAATTTTCTTTATTTTTATTTTTTATTATCTATTTTTATTTTTATTTTTTTTATAATTATTTATTAAAAATATTAGGATTTATAATAATTTAAAGGTTTTGATATGAATATATTTAAAATAAATATTAAAATATGTTAATTTAATCAATTAAATACTTTTTTATTATAAGAAAATAAATTAATATTCATGTAAAATCACTATTATTGATATTTTTTGTATTGGTAGGGTAATTTATTAAAATTTAATATTATCATATGATTTGTTTGTAAGTAAAATATCAAATAAAAACATGTTTTTTAAATATTATTCTTCTTACACAAATACTAGATATTGCTTCTCAATTAAATATCTAGAAATAATTAAATATAATTTAATTAATATATTTAATATATGCATATAGATATATAAGTTTTATAAAATGAATTTAAAATATAAAATTTCAAAGAGAATAATTATAATTAAATTTTTTTAATTTTAAAATATATTAAAATTAATTTTATTTGATATTAATTATTATATATGTTTTGAATTAATTTCTAACATAATATAATAGATTAATTTTATTTGATATTAATTATTATATTATGTTAGAAATTAATTATTAATAATTTGTTTTTTATTTAAAAAATTCTAACTCCAGCACTAGGATTGTCCGGTTCAGCTTTCTCTTCCTACTTTTCTTCTATATTGTTTTTTTCATATTTTTTTTAAAATATTCTTTTAATGATTTGGATCCATTACTTAAAATTATGATAATATTTGATAAAATATTTTTTATTTTTAAATATATAAAAATAATACTGTTTATGTTTTAAAATTTATTTTTCATATTAATATATAAAAATATTTAAAATTAATAAAAATATTTTATAAATATAGAAGGAACACATTCTTATGGAATATTTGGGATTATGATAAAAATAACAATTTAAAATAATTTTTATTTACAAATATATTAAAATAAAATTATTTTATTTTTTTAAAATTATTTTTTATATTAATAAATCAAAATAATATAAAAAAATTAAAAAAATTAACAATTTTTTTATAAAAAAATTAAGTAACCACATTCCAACATCTTCCTACCAAGCGCAGATATGTAAATAGTTATCGACTAGAGAGGAAAAAAAACACGAAATATAAACTGATTTTTTATCTTAAAACAAATGATCATAAAGATTAAGGATAAGCAATTCAAACGCATATAATAAATAGAATCGAAGAGAGAGAGAAATCTAGCCAGCGAAGTAGGAGTATTTGCAGCAACCACAGAATTCCGATGGAAGCATCACTCAGTTGTCGCCGGCAAGTTAAAAATATTAATATTTGTTTTAATGTTTTAAAAATATTTTAAAAAAATTAAATTATTTATTTATTTATTTATTTCAAATTATATTTTTATTTTTTAAATAATTTTAATGTGCTGATATTAAAAATATTTTTTAAAAATAAAAAATATTATTTTAATATATTTTCAAGTGAAGAGAACTTTGAAAAGCAATTATAAGTATACTTTTAAATAAATTTTAAGGTGGTGTTTATTTTTATATTGCCATCATATTTTTTAAAAATATTTTTTTAATTTAAATATTTTTTATGTTTTTGAATAATTTTAATATATTTTTAATAAAATATTTTAAAAAATAATTATTTTTATAATATCAAATACTATTATGGCAAAATATTAATAACACAAATGAAAACAACAAAAATAATAATAAACAACATCAAATTCAACTATATAAGATTATAATGATAAAAAATTTTATTTAAAATTTTATTTTTCACTAAGTATTATATATTTTTTAAAATAAACTCAAGAAATTAATATAAATAAACTAGCAAACTTAAAAATAAAAGTTATAAACACTAGATAAAATAAAATTAGTAAATATAATATTTAATTTTTAAAATAAATATAAATAAATAAATAAAATTAAAAAAACAAATATTTTTTTCTTAAAAACTCTCATGGATGAGTTTTCAAGTTGGAAAGAACTCTTATACACCTGCATTATCGTTGTTATCAATCATTATAAATATATAAACACCATTTGCACTCCATTAACCTCTAATATGTCAACATTGTAGAGTTAGTTGAATAGAATAAATTAGGCCAGGAATTAATTTTTAAAACATTTTAAATCATTACTAATTGTCAATAGCTTGATCTACACCATACCATTTCTCATATAGCTGGGTTTGCAACGATTAGGGTTCTATGAAGTTATACGGGGATGCCTCAAGCACATTACATAAATGATGTAATAAATATTTTTATGAATTAATAATTTAGATTCAAAAAAAGCTTAATCGTATCAAATTAAAATAATAATTTAAAATAATAATAACAAAAAATATAATTATTAGATTGAACTCTAATTTTTATAGGAGATTTTACGTAATGTTTACCTATCGCAATTAACTTTATATTATTGGATTGTTGGGTCTCATGAAATTAGATTTAGAAGTTGTTTGTTTGGACAAATTTTGTTATTTTTTTATTTTTCTGGATTTTTTGTTTATTTTGGATTTTATATTTCTTTATGTTTTAATATTTTGAATTTTTTTCATAATCTAGGTCGGTTTTTCTAGCCTATAAAAGGCATTATAAACCTCTTTAAAGGACATCCTTAGTCATTTTAATATTTCAAATATGAAATAAGGTTTTAGTGGTCTTTATATATCAACTCTATTCCAAAATATCTTTTGTCTTTTTGTGCTTCTATCTACATCATTTTCTCATACAATTTTATTTTCTAGGATCTCCTCTTTTTTTTTTCTTTTTTTTCTTTTTCATAAATCAAGATTAAAAAAAAAATATTTTTACAATTTTATTTTCTAGGATCTCCTCTTTGTTTTCTCCTTTTTTTTTAATAAATCAAGATAAAAAAAAAAAAATTTCAAGATTAAAAAAAAAATATTTTTACCCCTTCTCTCAACAACTATCCTCTCCTTTCTCCATGTCAATACATGTTTCTTCTTTATATTAAAAGTACATATATTATACTGTTCATTGTGTATGAAATTCATGTCATATTATTATAGTATACCTTGCAATAAATAATATGTATTTATAAACACTACATCATATCAAATATTATCCAAATATTTTTTACATATAAAAAATAAAATAAGATAATATTCATTTATGATTGCTTTGATATCTCGATTCATGTACTTTAATGTATAGGTCTAATGATGGTTTTTTTTATGTTAGACTATGATTTTTCTACTACTTCAATTGACACCGTATTATCATAATTATCACTGTCAATATCAAATTAAATACCTTCTTAATGACATGTTGAACTGAAGATTCATGAACTTGAACCAATGCCTTTATAACGACAGAAATGAAACTGGGTTTAATAAATCTCAAAGGAAGTGTAGCCTCTGGGAAAAGAACAGCTCCTAACAAAAATCAAAGCAGCACAATTTATTAAACACTATCAATGTTCCAGGTCTTTTGATAATGTCACCGGGCCTCAGAACTTGTAAGTCTGCAAGCTACGAAGTTAGAATGGTTTTGAAGCTTATTTTCGTTTATCTTTGGAAGATTTTAAACATGGAATTAAATAAATATTAATTATGGTTGTTAGAACATCAAGACAACATCACCAACACCAATCCAGCAGGCATTTTGCATTGAGTGAAATTGACCCCAATTCATTACAACATTCACAACTATTTGGCAATAAGACTACCCGCACTGGTATTTTTTAAAACCCTAAAAAATCTAAATTGGTTTTTATTGATTGTACAATCCTTATTGAGAAAGGAAGTGAAAGAAATGAGAGAAGAAAAGAAGAGATATTGAAAAAAGAAATTGACATGAGAGCTATTTTACTATATATGAAGATAATTTGATCTTTTAACAATTTTTAAAATTTTTATTTGATGAAGAATATTAGATTTGATTTCTATAAAGATGAAATCTTATAAGATTTTATGTAATTATAAAAAAAACACACATACTTCAACAAGGTTCAAATATTATTTTTTTAAGGTTGTGGCTGAAAGGGGAAGGAATTTATTCCCTTTTTTTTTTATTCAGGTTTAATTATTTTTGTATATATTTATTATTTTTAATATATTTTATCTAAGATATTCAATGAATTCAGGGATTAATCATGATAGTACAAGTTAATTAAATATATATATTTCTTTAGCAATGATAGTGGACAGCCCTACTAAATTGAAGTATCAAAATAGTCTCTCAATGAATAACATTCATGTCATTGCTAAAGAAAGCCAAATGAAGGTCTATTTTCTCAATCCTACTATCACACGTGTGCAATTTTTCTTGGAAGAAAAATGTAAATAAAGTATAATGTTTGGCAACATATAGGGACCAAAGACTTTGCACTGGAAAAACCGAACTTTCATTTGTTCACGTCGGCACGTCTCCTTAGCTCTCGAAAAGAGAAGCATGGAGTTTTTAGACGAGGACGCCAGACCTCGATTCCTCTTTCAATCTCGCCCGATCCCATCTTCACTAACCGATACCCAAACCCAACAAAAACCACTTAACAAATTGTTCCTCCTCCTATCAATCTCTCTCTCTTCCCTTTTGTTACTTCTCTCATTTCTCTACCTCCAAACAGAACCAATCAGATCCCTCCTCTTCTGGGTCTCCGTCTCCCTCCTCGTTGGCCCTTTCGCTCCCTCTCACCTCACTGGAGGTGACATTCGTGTTGGTCAAGGCCCAATCCTTGAACCCCTTGAACAAGAACCCGAATTTGTAGAAGAAAAACAAGCTAGAAAAAAGAGATCAAAACCGATTAGATCTGAGGAGATTGTGAAGAATCCGATTCAAAATGTGCAAATAACAAATGGGTTGTCGAGTAAAGGGAAAAAGGCTGAAACTTTGGCTAGTGGTGAAAATGGTGTGGTGAGAAATGAGAGAGAGGAGTGGAATGAAGAGGATTCGGAGATTCTGAAGAAACAAATGGTGAAGAATCCTGTAGGGAAGCCAAGGAGATGGGAGGTGATTGCTGAGGCATTTAATGGGAGGTATAGAGTGGAGAGTGTGATAAAGAAAGCTAAAGAATTGGGAGAGAAGAAGACGGATGATAGTGATTCCTATGCGATATTTTTGAAGAACAGGAAGCCACTGGATACAAGAGCTGAAAGTGGGAGTCAAGGATTAGAGAGTGATGAAAGTAGGCAGGAGGTTGGCGTTGGATTGGGGTGGACTACAGGAGAGGATATTGCTTTGTTAAATGCATTGAAAGTATTTTCTAAGGATGTGGCGATGAGGTGGGAGAAGATTGCAGCTGCTGTTCCGGGGAAGTCGAAGGCAGCTTGTATGAAAAGAGTTACTGAATTGAAAAGGGATTTTCGGAGCTCGAAAGCTGGTTCTGAAAGTTAGAGGGAATGTTGGATTTCTTTGTTGATTATAAGCAGATTATAAATTTGAGGCAGCATTGTGGAGGTAATGGATGATTGTTTCACGACATCTCTATACTTTCCCCCAAATACTGGAAGTGTTTGCTTTTTTGTTCAAGTTTTGTTGATTGAGTTTATGTTTGCTAATTGCTTGATATGGATATAAATCTATAATAATATACATGTCACTCTATATTTGTGGAGGCCGTCTTATGATAAAATTTGGTGTCCATTTTGGTTATTGCAATGTCTGGACTGCTGGGAGTTTGTAATTATACTATACACCGTAACAATGCTTTAACCATTTACTGGCTAATTAGTTCAGCACCACACACATGTAGTCTCCAAAAACCATATTTGATCATTTGGCTTTGATGTTGTGGTGCCAATTGGAGGATCTTAAAACTTCCTTCCAAAAAGCTGCCAGCTAAAACTGCTGGGAAATTTTGTTTGAGGTTGGGCATCCATCTGATTTTTTCCCCCAACTATGAAACCTTTAAATTGCTTGCAAACCAAGGGCACTCGTATTTAATGTTAGATCATATTGCTGTATTGCTTGCCACTTGTAGTTTGGCCAAGGATAAAAAGGTTAGTTTTCCTCTTGTTAGATGCAACTTCAGAAGATTTTCATTAGAATTATCAGTATGCAACTTCAGAATACTCTACAAGCATGGATTATTGATCGTGCAACATGAATTGCACAAAAAGGATTTTGCTTGAACAATAAGTGGGAGGTTCATACTTTAGTTGGTGGAAGGGGGCCATTCGAATGTTTATTTTTTTCAACTTCTAAGAAGCATGAAATGATTCTTGAGTGAATGAACGCATACAGTTTAGAGGGGGGGGGGATAGGATGGAGTGGATCTCTTTGGAAAAAATAAGAAGCTTTGAGGGTTGGAATGTCCTTAAGAAAGGGATCAGTGAACACCCCTACCTCGCACATGTTATTGGATCACTTACACTTTCAGCACTCGTTTTTTACTTGCTGGTCTAACAATGTAGAAGATGTAACCTCTTGGAATTTCTTACTCTTTACCTGTTAGTGTCTTATTAAGAGACATTTGTCAATTGGAAGTGGGTTTGATCCTGGTATTTTTTTTATTAGAAAAGGAGCTCTAGTTACTTACTTAGAGAGCAGGGCATTTTTAATGCTGGAGCATTCCTAAACGGTGTAGTAGCTGAAATATTATTAATGGAAGAACATGAAAGGCAAGCAAATTAAAATCCATATGACGTAACGGTGGCCTGGGACATAGTTCGCACATGTGCTTGGTCATAAGCAATGAAGGATAGCCTAACTCATCACTCTTTGATTAAGTGATTGGGTACATCTAAGCCTATATTATTGAATTTTATTTGGGTTTTATTATTGGGCTTAATGTTATTTTATTTTAGACTTCATTTTATTTCTAGTGAGCATTTAGCCCTAATTGTTGGTGGTTGTGTAGGGTGTTGCCATTCCTATGTAATTTTTCACATTATGTACTGTTTTTGGATGAATTTTAGAAATTTACAGATCTCCTCCTCCCATTCTTTCCCCTCTCCACTCTCCTCCTCCTCTTCTTCTTCCCATCTTCTCTTTCATTCTTTCTCTTCTTTCCTTCTTTTCAAATCTCTCTTGTCCCTCGTCAGCTTTGGTATCACAGCCAGGTTAATGTCACCGGGCACATCCATTGTTATTGGATTTTATTATTGGGCTTAATGTTATTCTATTTTGGATGAATTAAAAAAATTTACAGATTTCCTCCTCCCTTTCTTCCCCCTCTCTTCTCCTGCTCCTTCTCTTCTTCTTCCCAGCTTTCTTTCTCTCCTCTCATTCTCTACAAATCTCTCTTGTCCCATGTAACTTAGGCACCCTAAAGTATTAAATGAGCAAACCGATGATATCTCGTAGCTACCCTAACATATCATTTATTTTCCTCGTCAAGCTAGCACTTTAGTATAGGACCAAGTTTTCTATGTTAGCTATAGTAGGTTGGTTGAACTTCTCATGGCAATGCTTTCTTGTCTTTTAATTGTAAGTTTTAGCTATATATATATATATATATATATATATATATATATATATATATATATATATATATATATATATATATATATGTTATAACCCGAGGATGGAAGAGGAGAGAATTTGTTCAAGGTAAAATTAAAGTGAGCTTGTTAAGCTTGTTTCTAGTTTTGTATTTCTTTGGTGGATTCCATTGAGTGGCGAGCTATCCTAAAGTCCAGTCTCATTGTGATGTGACTGTATCAGTGAGATTTACGAGTTTAATCCTTGTTCTTCCTCTCTGAAATGGTGTTTTCTGTATCTCTAGAGGGTTGAACATTATCTTTCCTTCCATTCTTCGATGTTTCCATCCATTTCCATCATTCTATCCTGACTAGAACTTCCATTGAAACTCCAGCCGCCCCCTTCATGTATCGATTTTCTATATTTCATAAGAGCGTGTAGTTTGAGGTTGTGTGATATTATATGATATTTAAAAGGGAAGACAAGTTTGGAAATTTTCTTTAATGAGGGTTCAGTTTGGCAGAGTGCATTAGTGCAAGGAATACTGCCTAGTGCAGGGAATGTGCTAGGCCACATTATCTGGTTTTAGCTGCATCATGCAGGATTGCTTGGTTTTGGTGAACGATGTTGAGCCGTTGTATGAAAAGGAGAGAAGCATGGTGTTGAATGCAACTTTATATGCCCTGTAGTATTCAGAAGAAATGCAAAGTTAGTGCATTGTTAGGGCGCCCATGGCTTATTTCATTCATCATCATAAAACCAGGAGTTGCATCTTTCAATTCCATCGTTAATTTTTGTAAAGTTACAAAAGAAGGGAGAGAAATACGTAAGCCCAGACGCCTTCTCTTTCAGTTGTTGGAACATATTCAAGTTCTACAAGCTATATACAATATAAAGTGCAGAGGAAATTTTAGAATCAGATCTAATACCGATTTTCACTAGAAAGACTCATCTTGATCCTCGGTTTTTTCTTCATCTGGAATGAAACTCTTAAATATCATAATTTGTGAAGATATCATCAAATGCCGTGCAGTTCTGTGAGTTTGGGATAAGAGGGCGGCATCAGACAGTCTGTCGTTGTGCGTTGCTCCACGGGTGTTGTCGAGTGCTGTAAATTTTTATTTTTATTTTTAATTTTTCCAATTTTTGACCCTGCAACTAGCTGGCGGGTTATATTGCAAGTATATGCCTGTAAGGCCTTTTTGGACTATGTGTTGAAGAATTTGAAGACTATGGTTGGTGATAGGTTCTGTAACCAAAATGTAATTCAAGTTTATGCAGATTTGGCTAAAAGCTGCTATGTAATCTGCAGTTTGCTCTGATTTGTCTTTTGAAACAAATCATAAATGTTAAACTGGACTGGCTGAGTTCTGCATGTTTGCGAGGGTTGAGTTATGCTCTCATCCTAGAATCTGGCATGGGTGCTGGTTTAAGTGAAAACTTGCAGTCAAATACTTAACCAAAATTCACTTGGATAGTTTGTCTTGTACTCCGACAATTAAATGCCACCATATCACCGAGACCTGCCATTTACCAGCCCCTCCTGTCTTACAAAATATTGCTCGAGACTCGAGAGTGATAAAAGCCAGTTGAGTGCTACGCACGTGCTTGACAGTCTGCATATTTCCATCATCTCGAAATTTTTCGAGGAATTTAACTTACGATATGTGATGTGGAAAGTATGCTCGAGGATCCCTGGACATTCAGCGTGCCTAAATTTAGAGGAAGCTTCAGCATGGGAAAATTTAAAGGCCAATCCATGGTGCGTCCTCAGGATAAAATGTAAACAGCTGCAATGCTGGTTTCAAGATTGAAGTTCATGAAGCTGTCATGTTGTTAATTATTGTGGGGCTTTTAGGAAGCATAAAGTTTAAGGTTGTACTTGCCAAGGCCTTGTAACCAAATGGTCCAAGACGGTTGGGCCCAAGGGGTTGCGAGTTTGACCCTCTCTCCCAATAAAAAGAAAAACCCGCGGTCCTTCCCTGCCTTGATAAAGTTTTTTTGAAAATAACCAGATATGTTCAGCCCAGTGAAAATGCTACAATTTTTCCATTCCACAATTATAAATGTGATAAACAATATGAACTCTGTAATTAAAGTTGGTGAAATGAGAATCCTGAGGGTGACAATGTCATCATTTTGGTTAAAGAAAAGAGTTAAAGAGCAGAGACCATCTGCCTATCCGGAGTTGCCTAATCCGAGGAACTGGTCCGCAAGTTTCGCTACGGAGTTGGCAAGGCTGTCTGCTGCTTCTTGGATTGATGCCTCTGCATATACACGTATAACATCCTCTGTTCCAGATGGCCGTATGAATGATCGCCCTCGAGGGTATTTTGCTGAACAAAAATAATTGAAGTAGACATAGTTAGCCATATGAAGGGAAAAACAAATTTGTAGTTTGAGAAACCCTCATCTGCGCGTGCAAATGCACATGCACATGCCCATCCCATCCATTGCCACAAGGAGTATTTGTATACTATCTACATGCTTAACGTTAATTAACTAGAAGTTGCATTTTTTTTGTCAACATAGCACCTTGCACTATGCAGTCTGCAGTCAAGGGGTTAGCGTTGGTGGTCAGTAGATAAGGGGACAAGAGAGTCGTGTTACCACGACAGATTGAATTGGCCACCACTACAGATATGAGGAGCTACAATGGCCTCTTCTTGTAATGGTGCATTTTTTAAGCTCAAATTCTTCAGAAGAAATATTTGAAGCTCTGACCTCTTGCAAATGCAAGGAACTCACTACTACTAAGCCAAAGGCCTGTTGATAACTGGGATTTTCATGCTTCTATGTTATTATTATTTTTTTCTTCTAATCAAAGCTGAGCAAAAAAATGGATGGTGTAGACCAATAGTGAAACTCAGAGTATGCAAGAAAAACACAGATGCAAATCTAAAGGCATAATGTGCAGTTCCATAAAATCAGGTTTCAAAAATGCTATTACCAACTTCAACGTTGATGGCTTCTTGAATGAGAGGGGGTCTCACGACCACAGTTTCAGCATTTGCTGTAACAACAGCAGTTCTGTCCACGACTTTAACCTGTCAATAATCCAAAGCAGCACAAGAGTTAATTTCTGAATTTGGAGAAAAACATATGTTGTGTAATGGTTACAAATGGAAGCTAGTTATTTTCTTAGCCTATTTGACACGATGCTTCCATTAGAGTTTCAAAATTGCAGAAAGGTGCATGATGGGGGACAAGTGGTGTCACAGACTAAAACATATGGTGAGAAACCTAAACTCAAAAAAGGGGCTTCTTCATGGTAAGTAATCAAGAAAGTAAACCTTAAGCTGCCTGCTTGGTAGGTCATGGTAAAGCTCACTCCAGTTGTGTATTGACCATCCCTTGTATTGTAAAATGGCTTCTACCAACAGCAAACCACTTAAAGCATCCCCAACAGCTTGGTTGATCAAGTTACTAACTGCCAATAGTCGCAAAGCAGCCTTTTGCTGTTCTGAACCTGAAGGAACCAAATGCTTCATGATATTTGCTGACATTCAAGACTATCAATAGAAGATCATATCAGAATTCAGAAATAACCTTTAGATTTGGAGAGCTCATTATTTCTGGCATCTAACCAAGATAAGAAGCCCTCCGAGAACAGGATGGTGCCATGGCCATTGGCCTCAAAATAGATCCCAATATCATACTCAGCAGCTTTCTCATGCAAGTATTTCACTCCCGTAGGAGTAAACACAACTTCTAAGCCCAACTGTTTGAGATAATCTGTGGATGCTCCATTTGCATAAGCTGTTTGTACAACCCCAAGACGAGCTTCATAATTTTCATCTACATGATTATCCCCTTCCATTTTAAGAATACTTAGTTGCTCCTTGATGAACAAAGCAAACAAAGATAGTATCTTGTCCCCGTCAACAAGATCGATATTGCTGGCGTTATTTGATTGCACAGAAAAATAAACAAGCCGATCAGCATCTCCATCCAAACTTGCACACCTGAAAAACTAGAAATGCCCATGCAATTAGCTTCCCCTGCTACAAGTAAGAATCAAACGAGACAAGAATATCAATTTCAGCAAACATAATACACATCTGATTTGTCTTAGATTGATACCCCAAGAGGCAAGAATAAATCTGCTGCTAATAATAGTTACAAGCATCAGTTATACATTTAAAAGAGAAGCATAAAAAAGTATCATTCATTCTGATTTAACCATTCAAATAACAACAAATCCATGCAGCTTAAACCCATTAACAGAAAGCTTTAATATCTTGATATGAATCTACGGTAACAAACATGGAAATCATTGCCAAATTATATTATACTTAACTCCATATTAAACACACTACTATGAAATGCACATGCAGGTAACTAGTGCAACTTCAGTAAAATTAAGGCTTTTGCTGCAAGGTAGACTACCAAGAAAGAATAAAACTACTGCAAGATATGAGGACATGGCTGACCTAATCCCAGCATCTTTCAAGTAGAATCCTTGTGGAACAACTTTTTCTTTCTGCACATAATCAGCACCCACTCCTTCATTAAGTACACCTCCTTCTTTTCCAGAATTACGAACCTCAATAACCATGCTGTTCAACATCTTCTTTAACACTTCAAGTTTTTCTCCACCCACACCATTAGCCCCATCCACAACTAACTTGTCATCTGTGTTGTTCATTTTGATTTGATTTGGAGTCAGATCAACCAAGCACCTAATAAATCACATAAAACACCTAATAAATCACATAAAGAACTTAAGCGGAGACAATTTTTTGTATTTGGAATCGCTTAAGTTTGAAAGTAATCACTTTATTGGTAATGCGAAAAACACTTTGTGTCTGAAACAAACCTGAATGAGCTTGAAAGCTGTTCAAAGTAATCAAGTTCAGTCGCTTTCATGCCCTTATTTCTAGCACGAACCATCCAATGTAATTGGGGAGTAGTTAAAATTCCCATATCAGTGGCAGTAGCTCCAACGATTGAATAGACACCCTTCATTTAAACATAAAGAACAAGCAAGAAAAAAATGATTTCTTATAGATATGAATAAAGAATAGGTCCAAGATTACACATTTTCTCTTTCATACTGGGGATTGATGGAAATTGGAGGGAGGGGATACCTGTTTAGCAGCTTCAAGGAGTGATTCACCACTAGGCCTCGTGTCTCTTCCCAACAATATCTCCGCAGACCGCACTCCATCAAACCGGATGTTCTCCTTCTTCACAAATTCATCTATTAACTATTTAACAAGAAAAGAAAAGCCGACACACCATAAGTCCAATATTTTCTCCAATTTAATCTAACAAAATCTATGCTTCTGCTCTGAATGCTATACAACTAATTGGTTCTTAACCAATCAACCAAAATTGAAACTTAAAATCCATGAAAGAAAGAAAAAGAAAAAAGAAAAGATAGAATTATCCGATAGTGACCTGAACGAGATGTTGTGGAGTGGGGGAATTGGCAATGGCATCAGCGAAGGGCTCCCATTCCTGAGTGAGCATGCCACCACTGGGGTCAGCGATTTTGACACCATTGTCATTGACTTTATTATGAGAAGCGGTGATCATTAACCCGGTCAGTGATTGGGTTTTCAAAGATCGAAGAGCTGCCAATATCCCAACCCTGAATACTGTTGATTCCAGGATTGATGCATCTGCTCTGAACCCTGCTGTACCATATGATAACTTCACTCCTGAAAAAAAAAAAAATTGATGAAAAGATGGAGTTAACAATGGAGAAAGTGAAGATGGGTACCTTGAGGAAGTGGGTACTGAGACGAGGAGTTGAGGATTAGTGATTTTTGATTGTCGTTCATGCTGGTTCTGTTGTTCAATCTTCACACACAGAGAGAAGGAGTGAAGGATGGTGTGTGCGGGTCTGTTATTCGTTTTCTTCGAGTCATTGCACTGCTTAGATTTCTTTCTTTAGTCCTTTTTTTTTTAAATTTAATTTTTTTTTGAAATTTTTTTATATTTTGAAATTATTTTAATATAATGATATTAAAAATAAATTTTACAATAAAATTATTTTAATATTTTTTAAATAAAAAATATTTAAAAAAATATTATTACAATATCACACATGCTTTTTAAATTAAAATATTAGCCCTGTACTTGCATATCATCATGCCAATTTTTTTCCAGTAAATAATATTTAGTGAAGCAAATGCATTTTTTTTTTAAAAAATTAATTTTATTTTAATTAAATAATTAAAAATATATAAAGATATAAGATGGAAGAAATTTTTAAAAAATAAGATTACGAGAACCTAGAAAAAAATATTTTCATAAAAAACAAAATAATATAACTCAATTTTTAATGAATTAAATATAAAAGTATGAAATGGTGTAAAAAAAACCTAAAAAAATAGACGCTAATCAATTTTAGTTAATATAAAAAACTTGTAATACCAATAATTATTAATAAAGGTCATGTCAGTCTGGATTATCCTACAAAATTCGTAATTTAAATCATGAGATTAGAATAACTCGTTATAAAAAAATAAAAAAATCATAAAATTTATTTTTTTAACTCGGTATAAAAAAATAAAAAAAATCATAAAATTTATTTTTAAAAAAAAATATCAACTCATGTTAAATTTTTAAACTCATAAACTGGATTATTAAACCCAAAGCACCCTATATGAAACAAAACGTAAAATTCAATTCTCATTCAATCAAATATTAAAAAATAAAATTAAAAAATAATTTTAATTATACAAAATAATTCAAAACTAAAATTAGAAATTAAAAGAATGAAAATCAAAGTTGTAATAGAAAATAAATTTTATATTTTATTAAAATGTGAAATTAAAAAGAATAATGAATTTTGCAAAAGGATTAAAAAATTAAAAGAATAAGGATTAAATTGATAAAAATAATATACCATTAATTTGAATTGAAGAAATTAAAAACAAATAAAACTTTTATAAAAAGAACAAAAAAATAAAAATCAAAAGAATAATGATAAAATAAAAAAACATAATATATGACAAATTAATATTAAATGATGAAATTTAAAACAAATAAAATATTTACAAAAAAACCAAGAACAAAAATTAAAAAAAAAATATAGGCTAAATTTAAAAATACCAACAACAAAAATGGTCAAGTTATCATTTTAAAAGAAAAGGAGAGAAAAAAAACAAAATAAAAAAGAAAGCCACTCAATTTCAACAAACATTGCCTTAAAAAATACATGATAAAATAATAGCTTTGGATAATAGAAAATGTCATAAGTATTGTTGGAAGGGAGTGGATACCTCGTACTGGCAATTGCTAGGCATATTCTAGCTACTTCTTATTTATTTTATTTTTATGAAAAGATTTATTTACCCTAACTTGATATGATGATAACAAAAAAAAAACCATTCTAGAAAAATGAAAAAGCCTTTAAGGCCAATTTTAGATTTTGGTTTCCTACATCATGGTTGTTTTAGTATGCCATTTATTCTTTTTATTTTATTTTTTATATCTATTTAAATACCAAATTGTCCTTAGTTTGACATAATAATTATAAAAAAAAACCATTGTTAAAGTACCAAATTGCACTTGATGCTATACTTCTTTTTTTTTGGCTTTTAAAAGTATTTTAATTGTTTTACCATGCTTTTTAAAAGACTTATTTTTCCCTGATTAATTTTATATTGACTCATGAATCTTATGAAAAGATATTAATAACTCTTATGTCTAGTTTCAAATTTGTTGGTATGAAACACAAAATTACCATTATCAATGTTTTTTAGTATAGATGAATAATACATAAAATTATCATTATACTATTTCATTGAATAATATTTATGAGTATGAGTGAGTAATATTTTTCCAAGCTTTTATAGCTTTTGTTAATGTTTTGGCTCCCATAATTTAAGAAATGTTTTAGTTAGATATTAGATCATTAGCCTATGCTACATCATGAGTCAAATCACTTTTTATAATGTAAAAAAATATCTATGCATTACTAATATTTTTTTCTAGCAAATAAAATTAAATAATATGAGAGTTGATCTGATTAACTTGATAAATCCAAAGATAATTTGTATGACTAATAAAAATATAGTATGATTAAAAAAACTCAAGACAACTTTTTTTAAGAAAATTAAGACGAAAACATATTAAATCAACTTGAATTAACTTATCAAATATACAACCTTAATCATTAGACCATAATAACCCCAACATAAAGTAAATCAAAATAAATTATGAAACTTAATTTTTAAACAACCTAATGTTAAAGAATGAAATTGAAAATAAAAATAAAAAATAACATAAAAATGACCCTAATCAATCCATATTAACTTGCTATCCTTGCAACTCAGGTTATAAGACCGGAATAACATTATAAAATAAAATAAAAATAAATTATAAAATTTAATTTCTAATCAATCGAATGTTGAATAATAAAATTAAAATAAAAAATCAATTAAAAAAACACACAAAAAACAACTCAAATCAACTATAGTTAATTCTAAAGGTGAGCAAAAAAACCAGAAAATCAATTAAACAAAGAAAACTGGAAAAAAAATAACCAAAAAAATCAAACCATGAAAAAAACTGATTAAAATTTTGAAAAAACCAAATTTAAACCAAAAAAACCGAGCTAAACTGCAAAATCAAGCCAAATAAGACAAAATTGAGTCAAACTGGTTTGAACTGGTTTTCATCCTAAAAAACCAAATCAAACTGAAACCAGCTAATTTGAATCGATTTTGGTGTGGTTTTGGTTTTTTTTTTTTATTTCAATTTGGTTATTTTTTTTTATAAAAACTAAACCAAACCAAAAATAATTATCCTTAGTTAATTCACTAAACTTATTGGAAAAAAGATGGTTCTAGGATGGTTGTGCAATGATCCATGACCGCTAAGATTGATGATTTTTTATTTTAGTTTTTTAGCAACATTTATAAGGGCAAATTGGATAATAAATCAAATATAGTTGTAAACTTACAATATTTTAGAACTTTTTTATTGATTGAGTTCGTGAGTTTCTAACTCAATATTTAAGGTATTATCAACTATATTAACAACAACAACATAGTAGTAAGTTAATAAAAGGTGAAAGAGTGTTATTTTTTTAACTAAGCGATTGAGTTTGGGTGTATATATAAAAAAACAATTCAACAAGGAAGATCTAAGTTGATATTGTAAGAAGATGGGTCATTTCAAGTCATAAAAGAATTAATGATAATATCTATAAAGTGGATTTATCAGGTAAGTATGATGTTAATGTTACTTTCAATGTTTCTGATCTTTCTTTGTTTGATGTCGATGATGATTTGTGGATGAATTCTTTTAAGAAGAAAATGGATAATGTGATTAAGACTACACCAAAAAATCTATTGTAAGTTTTAATTGGGTCAATTACAAGATTAAAGGCAAAAGGAGCTCAAATATGCATTCAATGAACTTATTAAGAATATTTGAGTCAAAAGGGATTTCAAAGAGACAACATTAAGAGGTAAAGATCAAATCCTGGTTAATTTAATTTATACACAACAAAGACCTAATTCATCACTTCATATACTTATTTAAATTTTATGGGAGGCTTGTTGCATTATTAAAGAAATTTAATTGAAGTAGTTTTCTTGTCTGATTAGAGTACCAAGTGGTGACATCTCTAATTAGCTAAGAATTCTTTTAAAGCAAAGATTTTATTCTACATCTAATTTTCCTAGTCTATCATGAGCAGCAATTAGGGTTTTAATTTAGAGTTTTATTTTTATTTTAATGTTTTAGGTCAAAACTTTGAGCATTATTTTATTACAAGTTGATGATAGTCCATTACATTAATTATGGATTTTTAAGTATAAATGGCATTATAAAAACATCTGTTATTTTAAGTTATCAAATACATTCTTATTGTAATTTTATATGTGTTTTGAGAGATTTTTTTGTCTTTGATTATCAAAGAACTTATTTTGGCTTATCACATAATTAATTAATTTTCGTTATATCTTTTATACTTCTTGTTCACGATTCTACATAATTATTGGAAAAAAATTTATTTAATCATAGTTTTAGTGTCTCGATATAAGTTATCGTTGTATCAAATTCAATTCAAAATCTAATTTTAGCTTTCTTAAAAAGTGTATTACTTGGTTATCTCTTTTTAGATCTTTATATTTACATGTTCACATCCGTTTTAGAAGTTTTAGACCTTCTAAAACTATGATCTATCATTTTTAACTTGGAACTAAAAGATGTGTTAATAAGTTGATTATTTCATGGAAATTGTTGTTCACTGATTATTAATCATGTAATCAATAAACTAATAGGAAACTATGATCTATCATTTTTAACTTGGAATTAAACACCCTCTCACTAATGTCATTGAGCATAATATTGCCCATTGATATGAAGTTTGCAAATATAGTAGAGTCAATGTAGAAAGTTATAGAGGGATATCTCTGAATATAGCAGCTACTTTAGCTGGTTCTCTCTTTACTTTTCCTTTTCCCCTAGTTTTTTTCCCCTTGCCATTTACTTGGGCTGCGTGGGATTCTTTTTAGCCTTCGTTGAGGTTTTCAAGTCTCTACTGCTAAAAATTCAAAGTCTTTGTTCTGTTCTTTTCCTAAGGCCTGAGAGAAGCATTCATACACAAGTAGGGTGGTGGGAAATTCCCAAGTCTTATGCACAAGTCTTTATTCTCCATTTTTGTAGACTCAAAGACTCTTGCAAGTTGAGATGAGGTTTACAGTTCTGGCTGGTTCTTAAAAGGGAGAAGACTTTGATGGATGACTGCTACCTTTAGCCCAGTATATATCCGCTGATTCATTCCACAGGTGTTCAGGCCACCCTTACCATATTCAAACTCCAAGAAATATAAGATCGTGGCCAATAAACATTCAACAATTTTTTTAATTGATGATTTTGTTGGAAATATAAGCAGTATTTCCTATTGGGTTAAAAAATTTAAACCTTTTCAGCGGAATTATTAGTGATGGAAATTTTTTCGACAATTCCATCAGCTTTGTCGTCAACAATATTTAGTTTTCTCTAACGAAATAGGCGATGGGAACATGTCATTGGTAATTTATTTATTAATAAAATGACGATGAAAACTGGTCAATGTATTTTATTGTTTTGGTGTTAATACTTCATTGGAATTACTAATTACTGATGAAAATGTCCATGGATAATAAATTTCTAACATAACTTTTTTCTATAGCTAGTTTTTATTGATAAATCCTTTAGTAATATAAATGGTTAACAGAATTGTGTTTACTCGCTGATGTAATATTACATCAGCATATTTTAATTGTCTAGTGGTGAACCATGCTAATACAATTTGGAAGAGTGAAAATGAAATTAAAGAAGTGTATTGTGATAAGGATAAAGTTCATAATAATAAGATTGACGATAAACACTAATATCTGTTACCTAGTGTTTTATTGTTTCTAGTTCTCCGTTTGTTTTTGTCTCTTCAAATGAATCTTTTTGTAACTACAACTCTTATAAAGAGTTTATATTGTAACAGACTTTACGTGTGTGTATATGGTTGAGAAAACACAATTTTACTCAAGCAATTTCAATTGTAATTTAATTCTTTTATGGTATCAGAGTGTCTCATAGTTAACGCTTCTAACGATCCTATAGTTGCTGCTTCATATTTTTTTTCTTCCGCTGCGTTTCATCTTCCAACTCAAGTTATTTCCATCAAACTCGATGGAACTAATTTCCTTGCCTGGAGTGCTTAATTGCTTCCTCTGTTACGGAGTTATGGACTCTTGAGAATTGTTGATGGTTCTGATTTTTATCCTCCTCAATTTTCCAGTGAAGAACATAAAGTCCAAGGTATTACTAATTCTACTTATATGGCTTGGCAGTATAAGAACCAAACAATACTTGGATGGATTATCTCCTCATTATCTCTTACAATGGTTTCCACCATTTCTGGCCTTGAAACTTCTTGTCTTGTTTGGCAAGCCCTTGGTGCATGTTTTGTTGCGCCATCAACTTGTTGAATTTCTCTTATCAAGTAAAAGTTGCAATCTTTACAGCAAGGCTCCTTGTCTTGTAGAAATTTCTAGACGAAGTCAAAACTCTTGCAGATGAACTCTCTATTGTTGGCAAACCTATTGATGATTATGATCTAATATTATATGTTCTTAATGGTCTCAACTCTTCATTTCATTCATTTATCACTACGTATATGCTCCTCTCCAAAGAGAAATCCATGTCATTTTTAGATTTTCATGCAGAACTACTGAACCATGACCTTAGGTAACAATTTCATAGTCAGTCTCTTCACCATGAGGCAGGTTCCTATGCTCTTTACTCACATAAACCTACAGCCAAAATAGGTTATCGTCACAACAGTAATAAATCTCGCCTCTTAGGGGCATCTAAAGGATCGGGTAGTGCTTCCTCTTAGTTTCGGTAGCCACTACCTCACCTCCCACACCCATCTTCACCAGCTTCTTTTGACTCTTGTTCTCGATCTCCATGCCAAATCTGCAAGCGAGAGGGACATTGGGCCTTGGATTGCTTTAACCACATGAATTACTCTTTTCAAGAACGTCATCCTCCCACTGACTTAGTTGTCATGGTTGCAGAAGCCAATATAACTTATTTAAATTAACATCAATGGTATACGGATAGTGATGCTAATATTCATGTTACCTCAGATATTGCTAATCTTGCAACTTCTCACCCTTTTGAAGGTGATGCTTTCGTGGGAGTAGATAACGGTACAGGTTTGCACATATCTCATACTGGCAATGCTTTTATTAAAACCCTATTTTCTACTACTCTTGCCTTAAATAATGTTGCTTATTGTCCTCAAGCATCAACTCATCTCCTCTTTATCAATAAATTTTATCAGGATAATAATGTCCTTTTTAAACTCACTGGTTCTAATTTTTCTATTAAGGACATCCTGACAAAGAACATGCTCCTATCGGGATCAAGTGATAATGGATTGTATCCGATCAACCTTCATCAACTATCTGCTTCACCATATGATGCTCTCATAATTACTATTGGCGTCAAGGCTCCTACTTCTATCTAGCATTGCTACCCGGGCCATCCTTTCCCAGAAACCCTTCGTCGTGTCATTTCTAATTTTTCTCTTCCAGTTAGTGATTCCATAAATAAAATATCCGTCGTGTCATTTCTAATTTTTCTCTTCCAATTAGTGATTCCATAAATAAAATATTAGTTTGTGCACCTTGCCAACTAAGCAAATCTAAACAATTTCCCTTTTCTGATTCATTAAGAGAATCCACTACTCCTCTAGAAATAATTCACTTTGATGTCTGGTCCACTTCCACACCTTCCTTGAGTGGTTGTCGTTATTATGTTATTTTTATTGATGATTTTTCTCATTTTTGTTGGATGTTTTCTATTTCAAATAAGTCTGATGTTTATTCTATATTTGTTAAATTCAAGCTTTTAGTAGAGAAACAATTTCAATTCACAATTCGACAATTTCAAAGTGATAATGGTGGTGAATATTGTTCCACCATCTTTAAACACTTTTTAAAGGATAATGGAATTTTTCATCGACTATCATGTCCTCACACTTCTCAATAAAATGGCCTTGCTAAGAGGAAACATCGTTATGTTATGGATATGGGACTTACTCTTCTAGCTCAATCAGGTTTATCTAAGAAATTTTGAGTTGATGCTTTTCTCACCGCTATCTTTATCATTAATCAACTTCCTACTAAAATTCTTGATTATGTCTCACCATATGAACGTCTTTTTCATCTTCCTCTAGACTTCATATTTTTTCAAGCATTTGGATGTCAATGTTTTCCATGTCTTCGTCCTTACACAAATGATAAATTATCATATCGTAGCATGCCTTGCATTTTCATTGGTTATAGCTCCAATCACAAAGGATTTCGATGTTTAGATCCTTCCTCTAGACGTGTCTATATTTCTCAAAATGTGATTTTCACAAAGAGCAATTTCCTGTACACTCCATTATCACAAATCCTGCCAACTGCATCTCCTCTTTAGGTAAGTCTCCAGGTCTATTCTTCACTCCTTTTTTATATATTTTCTCCTCATCCTCTGATTTTTCTCATCCCCTAGCAACTTCCTCACCTACTCAAGTTCTTGTTGACCTTACCTTACATGATACTCATACTGCTCTAACTATTAATTCAAATGAATACCATCTCCACTCCTCTCTCTCATCTCTCCATTATGGCTAACCCAAGTCTTCTGAATTCGTTCCCATACCTAGTGCACTAGCTCTTGGTCTTTCTTTTGATCACCACTACAATGCCATCCTTAACCTCCAAAATGGTGCCCTGTCTACTAATGAGCCTTCCACAAAAATAATCACTAGATCACAGATTGGTCATCATAAGCCTCATAGATTCCCTGATTTTCATTTATATTCCACTCGTCACCCCCTTCAAGCTTTGCATGCAGGTCTGGTTTGTGTTGAGCCCAGTTCCTACGCTCAAGCAACATTCATACTTGAGTGGCGTGCGACAATGGACAATGAATTTTAGTCCTTGTTATAAAATGACATGTGATCACTATGTTCTCATCCCCCTGGTAAGAATTTGGTTCCATGTAAATGGGTTTTTAAACTCAAACGATGACCTGATGGCAGTGTTGAACATTATAATGCTAGATTAGTCGCTTTGGGATATCTACAGAGAAGTGGCATTGATTTTCTTGACACATTTAACCCAGTCATCAAGTTTTCTACTGTCTGAATAGTTCTTACCATCGCTATTTCTTTCAACTGGGATATTCGTCAACTTGATGTCTCTAACACCTTCCTTCATGGTGTGTTAAAAGAAAAGGTTTATATGACACAACCCAAAGGATTTGTTGATCTTGCACACCTCCAATTCGTTTGTAAGCTTCATAAATCTCTTTACGGGTTGAAATAAGCTCCTCGTGCCTGATTTACTCGATTGTCCACTGCTTTTTTGGCTCTTGATTTTTAAATTTCACAAATTGATCCCTCACTATTTATCTGTCATTGTGACAATGTCCATGCATTCTTCTTAGTTTATATGGATGACATTCTGGTTACCTCAAATGATCAGGATTTTATTACCACTCTTATATCTCAATTACAACTTGAGTTTGCTATGAAGGATCTTAGCCAGTTGACATATTTTCTAGGAATTGAGGCCATACACAATTCTTCAGGGTTACATCTTTGACAAACCAGGTATATAATTGATCTTCTAGATCCTGTGCAACTCACCAGTATCCGTCTATACCGTGCACCTTGTGTCTCCGGGTCTAAGCTATCCAAGTTTGATGGAGAAAGTATTCCAGACCCATCTGAATATAGGCAAACGGTGGGGGCTTCACAATATATAACTCTCACACACCCTGACATTGCATACTCAGTAAATCAACTCTGTTAGCACATGTAAGTGCCTACTTTTTCTCACTGGACAATAGCCACACAGGTGCTATGATACTTAAAACACATACTTGATTATGGTCTCTTCTACAGACCTGGTTCCTTTGCAATCAATGCCTATTGTGACTCTAATGGGGCCGATGATTGATTAGTACTTAAAAGTGCATTTTTATCATGGTTTTATATCATCATTTTGCACTTGAAGTATCAATAACTCCTTAACTAAAATATGTTTTATAATAATGTATCTAATAATACAAGATACCTGTAATTTGTGGTAAATGTCTATTTTTAATGCAGGCCAAACTTAGAAAAGAGATGTCGGAGCAATCCAAACCGGAACACTGTTCGGTAATTGGGTCATATCTAGAGCTATATATCTCAGATTTAGGTCCAATTTATATGGATGGAAAGGTAAGACATAGGCCTACAACTTTCATATGGAGCCCAAGATCTAAAAAGGCCATTATCAAGTCCAAATTGTAGCAACAACAAAGAAGCCCGAATCTGTCTTCCAGCCCGAGCACTGTTCGGTATTTTGGCCATATCTGGAGTTCTAGAAGTCCAAATGAGCTGAAGTTTTTACACAAGAAAGCTGAGACAATTGCCTACAACTTTCATGTTTACAACTGGCTCCAATTTTGACGTTATCAATGACGTTTTGGGCAGACAAGAGAAGATAAAGATTGTCACCAAGTCAAAAGTTGGCCACCCACTTATCAATTAGTCATCAAATCAATAGTTCCCATTTTTGGCCTATAAAAGGAGGCATTTGCCATGCATTTAGGCATCTTGGTGTTCAGATCAAGATCATGCTCTTCCTTTCTCTCTTTGTATTTTTTATGCTTTGTTTTCATTAATATTAAGTTTATGCCTTTCATTTCCTTTCCTTTACTTAGTTAACTTTTATGTTCTTATTTTGTTTATCTATTTTGCTTTCTTTCATTATGTCTAGCTAAGTTAATTATGTCAAGGTGAAAAGGTTACACTAATGGTGTAAGAATAAGTATAATGTAAACTTAATATGGACTTTAATGTTTGATACTAACATGTTTTATATTTGTTATCTTGTTCACTCTTTAATACTTTGCTTGTTAAATAACTAATCTTGATTTATGTTGTATAACACTTGGTACAACAAATGCTTGGCACTTTCATAGCCCATAATGTATGGTATAACCGACACCTGAGCTATGAAAGGAACTTGATTTATTGTTAACATAAGTTATAATCATGAATGCTTGACGAGATTTACAAGTATTAGCATTAATTGAATAAGATGACTAATGTAATCATGTTAACAATATATAATCTGATTGGAACCTCCTTTGTGTGTGGTTTCCAATTCAATAATAAGAGTTTATACTATACTTGTTTGATATACCATTAGTGGAACCTCTAACCTTGACATTTGTTATTATCATTGTTTAATCGTTACATTAATATTCCATCTCAAAGTTCTCATCTTCTTCTTCTTCTTCTCCTTCTTTTTCTTTATTATTATTATTATTATTATTATTA